AGTTAAAACACTTTAAAATTATAAAACATTTAAAATTGGCCGTTCAACAGAAGGGACCGCCACAACAAAAGAGCAAGTCCCCTGGCCGGCCCAGCCCCCCCCGAACGCCCCCCCCAAACGGCGGCGACCGCCCTTTGGCTGACGCCCTTCAGCCGCCGGCCCCGGCCGCTGCCGGCGCTTTGTAGCCGCCGGCCGCCCGACGCCCCACCCCGTCCGGGCACGCCTGCCACGCGTGCAGGGGCGTGGCAGGGCAGTCAGGTAGCGGCGGAGTCGGCGGCGCGGCGCGGTCTTTGCGCGGTCTTCGGGCGCGTGCGCGGCGCGGTCAAGGGAAGGAGGCTGGCCATCTGCCCCTTTGCTATTTTTGGAGCTCACTTTTCATTGTTGCATACCACTTACGTCATCAGGAGACCCTAAGCCTTTTGAAGTGGTCATTGTGTTCCCTAGGGAATGCTTGAGAGGAAGAAGTAGTCATAGAAGGACATCCATGAGCAAGAAGAGCAAGAATGAGGATGAGCAGAGTAATACTTGAGTTGCAGACTGTGGGCACCATTGGTGCATCAGCCATGGGGGAACTGGTTGCACAGTCATTCCTTCCCTGAAGGGAAGCGCAGGAATTGTAGTTCTGCGCTAACGGACCAGAGACCTGGAACATCTCCCTGCCCACAGACATACCCCCATTTCCTGCCTCCACACAGGAAGGAAAATAGCTATTATTTGGGGGCAGGGGTTGTAGAAATAAGGTGTGTCCTAGGCTGCAGTGTGCATGTACAGGAGTTAGTCTGTTCACCTTGATCGTAACATGTTTTGGTATGGGGCTCTAGGTTCGGTTCTTGGAACAACAGAATAAGGTGCTAGAGACAAAATGGAGCTTACTGCAAGAGCAGAAACAAGTTAAGAACAACACAGAGCCCATATTTGATGCCTTCATTAATAACATGAGACGGCAGCTGGAAATGCTTGGATATGACCGAAGTAAACTGGAGTCACAACTGACCAACTCAAGGGAGGTGCTCGAAGATTACAGGAGGAAGTAAGTGAAGGTCTATATTTATCTAAGACATAAGATGCATCTAAGAGAAAATTAAAGAAGCCTCAGCCTTGTTTGAAGACGATGAATAACTATATGTGTCACAGTGCTGGCTCCAGGTTGTTGAGGGCCTTTGGTCAAGATGCCCACACCAGACCCTTCCACATGGAGTCCATCTTGTCACCACGCTTGCTGCTGCTGCTGCTGCTGTTCCTCTTTCCTCGCTTGCTTGCTTGATCAGCAGAGAGCTGGCGAGCCAATAGGCTGGGGCGACTGCCCCTCCACCACCATTTTCTGGGCCAGAGTAAGAAGCAAGGGGGCAAGAAGGCTGCTGTGGTAAAGAGGAGGAACAACTCCACAGTGCTCTTGTTCATGAGATGTGGGCCTTCAGCCATGCCCACTCCCAGCACCTTGCTACCTGCATATCCAAGTACCAAAAGCCATATATTGTTGTAAGCCGCCCTGAGGCTTCGGCGAATGGGGCGGCATAAAAATGTTTTAATAAATAAATAAATAAATAAAATAAACATACAAGTCAACCCTGGAATGATGCACTGCTACAAAAGATGGGTGGCATATATTGCCGATGATGATGACAATGATAATTTTCTTAGCACAGCATCTACTTAGATTTTGTTTATATAAGTACAAGAAGACAGGGTGGATTTGATCTACATCAAATTGATTCAAATCACAGTCAGTAAGACTAGATTTATGTCATGGTTTTTAAAACATAATTTGCATGCCTGCCTGCCTTGTAGGTACCTCTACCAAAACATTCCCAAACTGGGTCTCTTTTACAGCCTGCTGCCAGTATGCCAGTATAGGTTTTCTTCTTCAGGGAAAGAATAATATGATAAGTCTCAGCTGTACAATAGATCCAAAGACTTGGGAAGTATTCTGCTCAAAATTTTCACTTTCATTTTTACTGCTTGCCCCTCCCTCCTCACTCTTAGCATCACTCCCATTAATTCAGTGAATTTTTTTAATCTTATCACTTGGTAAGTGGTTGATTCTGTGTGCATAGATTTGCAAAGGAACAATGGAATTAAGGTTTTTTTTCTCAACTCTGAATGTGTTTTTTGCTGTGAAGAAGAGGCATGTAATCTCCGCAGACGCACATTCACAGTTTTGAGAACTGTAAAACCAGGTATCTGTGATAAGATATTCTAGAAAGAAAAATTGCCCACTAATCTTCCCGAAACCTGTGGAAAAGTATTACATTGTGAATGGATTAATGGAATTCACTTACCAGAAAATTTAAATATTGCATGAATATACAGCCTCATGCTACATAATTAAAAATGAATCCTTATTTCCTGATGAATAACCTTTGGTCTATAATGTATCTTAAATAGAAAACTATCTTTAGATAGATTTTTCCCTCAAAAAGGATTTTATTTAAAAAATTGAATTTGAAAAATCCAGTGTTTGATTTTTAAAAATCATTTATTTTTATCCACCCTGCAGGAAGATTAAATTCTCTGTGGAATATCTATGCAGCCCCACTCACTTGCCAGTGTTTCAGCTTAACTGACTGAGGCTAAATGTATCAAGCTGTCCCGCAACCTTTTGCTCTTGCCTCAAGGCCCTCACTGGGACATGATCTGTGATATTCTGCCCTCAGTGTACACGAAAGGGGCTGTTATGTAGCATGGTATATATTTCTGTTAAATGCAAATCTAGAGATCTCCTCCAGCAAGCTCCTCAGTGCTGGCTGCTCCTTCTGGCTGCCCACTGCCTGAGCTGGGTCCTTTTACCTCCCGGTCTCTATTGCAGCCTGGTACAGCAGGGGCCGAGGGAACCAGATTCTCACACCAGGTTCAAGAATTTGGCCTCTAGGCAAAGCCACACTTCCAGTTGGTGCACGCAGAACATCACACCTGTGCTAATTGTGCCATGAAAATCAGCATTCTTTGAGCTGCTGACTGTGGTGACGTTCCAGATTTATGACCTTCGTAAAGCATTGTCTCAAACAAATTCACTTTCTCAACAGATATGAGGAAGAGTCCAATCAGCGGACATCTGCCGAGAATGAATTTGTAACACTGAAAAAGGTATTGATGTATAGTTCGGTAGAAATAAGCAAGATACCTTATTTTTGGACTTGATATGCCAACAGCAGTTCACATTTTGGCAATGATAATACTGGAGCTGGAATCTCTCCCTGCCTCCATTCCCCCCCACCCCCAACACCCACTTTTATTTCTTTATCAGATTTCTATCCCACTTTTGTTTAAGAAATCAGACTATGATGAAACTTCTAATTAAGACTGGGATGCAAGCTTTCGTTAAGACCTAACCATCCCAGTATGGAAAGCCTACTGCTTGTTCCAGACAGTCATCTGGGAAGAACTGGAAAGCAGGCAGACAGGTCAAGAGAAACTGGGAAACTTGGAAAGTACCTCAATACCCATACAAGCAAGAATCTGCAACCCAGGCCAGACTGGAGGAAACCAGTGGAAGCAGGTGGAGTGTGTGGAGCTAGCTGGAACCTCATAGCCTAAGACCCAACAAACCCCCCTCAGAGAATACATCAAATGCAGTAGGCTGGAGCAGTGGAATTGCAGGGGCCGGCAGAGGCGCTGTTAGGGGAGCACATCAGGGCAGAAGTCCCAAGCACCATTCAGCAGATCACAACTGTGCACAGGTCGTCACTTCCCATCCTCACCTGAACATTCCCGCTCCCTTCTTGCCCTTGAATTCCAAAAACATGTGAAAAGGGCTTATTTTCTGACTTCCTTCCACATTTTTGAGTAGCTTATCATAAGGGGAAGCTACCATAAATCTGAAGGCTTTGACCTGGTGCCAGGTTAGAGAAGGGTTGGTTGAGTTTTTGTGCTCTACCTTTCACCGTGTTTTGTTTTGCAGCATAATATTGGCTGCGCTAAGGTCACCCCTGGTTACTTTTAAGTGTTCTGCACTCTTTTCCCAAAGAAAGGCTGTTTCCTTCCCTGCAAAGATTCCCCTGCCCCCTTTTGATTGCCTTGCCGTGCACGACGCACAAGCATTGGGGCTCCTGAGCTCTGAAATTGCTGCTTCTGCTACTAAAAGGCCACTGTTGTTTCTATAGTTCTGTAATCTAATAGTGTCTCCATCTTACTATATTTTTAACAAATCCTTAGGATGTCGATAATGTATACATGACCAAGGCCGGCCTGGAAAGCAATGTAAAAAGCTTGAATGAGGAGATCAACTTACTGAGAAGCTTGTACAAGGCGGTAATGAAATTTCCTTTTCTACAGTACACCATGCAGTGCATAGACATATATACTCTATGTATACATGCTTCTCAATAAAAAATAGAATGCCAAAGAGAAAGAAGGAGCACATAAACTGACGCATTGGAAAGGTATTTTGAGAAATAAAGTGTCCTGAAATGCCAAGTCTGCTTTCTTCTTCGGGAGGGCATTCAAAGTCCAAATATGTGAAATCAAAGAGGAGAATTTGACTCCCCATTAACCTCTTTCTGCACACTCTGTCCTTCAGATGTGTTGGAGGACAACTTGTGGTATTCCCCCAGGCTAGCTGGGGGATGCTGGGAGTTGTAGTCTAACACATCTGGAGAGCACCAGGTAGAGAAGGTTGTGCAATGCTATTTGTGCCAATAGAGCTGAATTGTTATGTTCCCATCAGCGCCCCACAGGGCAGCTGCAGCCCCCTGAGGACTCGTGGGGTAGCATGGCCCGAGGCATGGGAGCCCTTCTCTGATAGTGCAGGGCTTTGAGTCTGGGGCTATCATGACATGGGCCCTGGAACAAATTTCCCAGGCCCCTGCTGCCCCCCCCCCAAAAAAAACACTTTTAAGAATAAAAGTCATTGAATTTTAGTTGTCAGGGAAAGAAAACCCTAATCATCCTGTAAATTCCATGTCAGTTTCATGGGATGGCTCTTCGTTCAAGAAAGACAAAGGACCTTTCTCTGTCTGCCTTTGGAGGTATCTTCAAGAATTTCCCCAGCGGCAGATGGATGGAGACATTGCATCCTTCACCCTTCCCAGTTGTTGGTCTTAGACATCCAAGCACAGGGGCCTTTTGATTTAAACCGCTCACTGCTTGCTCATGTCCATGTGCCACCAGAAAGGAATTGTCACTGTTCTGGCCTAGTCACAAATAAGTACAAATAAGCACAATACTATGCTTGTTCCATACAGGATATTGAGCAACTCCAGTCCTCCATCTCAGATACTTCCGTGATCGTGCAGATGGATAACAGGCGAGACCTGGATCTGGATGACATCATTGCTGAGGTCAGAACCCAGTATGAAGACATTGCAAACAGGAGCCGCTTTGAAGCAGAGTCATGGTACCAAAGCAAGGTAAGAGTCTCATTTCTTTGTAAGAAAGGGATTGGTGATCCTGGTACACTGGGAATATTGTGGGAATATTGGCAATCTTCTCCTGGAAGCAAAGGAGGCAACAGTGGCACCTCACCTGCAAATGGACCCATTTGCTGGTGGGCAATCTTAGCCTTCTTGTTAGTGATTTCTATATTTTGCATTTTATAAAATTATGGAAACTGGTGGTACATTAATTCTACAATAAGGAGGAAGAAGTAGTAGAACTCCTATTATTCCAATTGTGTTTAGGTGAGCTGGAAACATGCCCTCTTCGAGGGAGACAGGTGGCACTGTGGTCCAGGGCACTCCTTATCCATCTTCTCTTTAATTTTGAGCTTCATAGGAACTACCCACAGTGTCGAAATAAGTTGACCACCATGAATGGATAGGTCCTTCAAAGCTCAGAAGAGATGCTTCAGGAAAAGCCCCACTGACCTACGCATCCCTGCCTACAATTTAGATAGGTTTATTCTTTGTTGCTTTTGTTTGGAGGGAAAAAACACTGCCAAGTTGGCCCAGATTCCTCACCAACAATGATCAAATTTTGTAACTTGTTCGAAGTCAGCCATTGCATACCAGTCAACCCCAGTTCCCTGGGGGAGTGCCTGTGGGATGATGGGGTTTTAGGAGATTCCTTCTCTTGCTGTGGAGAAGGAAAGCTTCTCCCACCACTGCAGTGTGGGAAAGCGCTGCCATTAGCACCAGCAATGCTCCAGAGGCATGTTGGGGACAAGGGTGTTGAGAAAGGCCAGACATCCACAGGATCCTAACCCCGCTGCTTCCCTTGACATGACCCTGCAACGGGCCTGGAGCTGGTGCAGTTGTTCCCTCCCACTGGAGTCAATGAAAGGAGTTGGTTAACCAAAAACACGGATAAGCCTCCCTCAAAAGTCCACAGGGCCTTGGATGGGAGTAGAAATGTTGCGGGTTCTCCTGAGATTGCTTTCCCAATTAGAAAACTGTGCTGTGCCACATGGGTGTTGCTGATGCTGCATCACACTGCTGCTAACCCCCCACCCCCTCCACACACACCCATTCGCACCATCTCTTGTTTCAGTAACTTCTGTTTGGTGGCCAGACTTTCACTGCACATTTTGGACAAGTGGGTGAATGGAGGGAAGAATTAAGAGACAGGAGGCTGAGTGAGGGAGAGGAAAGAAACATGCATCAAGAATGGTACCACTGTATAATCGCATCATCCCCGGACCCAACAACTGCAACTTTAATAAATTTCAAGTAAAATTGACAGCATCTGGGCTGGAAGGAAGGAAAGAAGGAGAGAAGGAAGGGTGATAGCTTGGATAATTTCTATTCCTGACTGAATGACTGGGTGGCTTTCACACTGAATCTTTTCTTTTCAAGTATGAAGAGATGAGGGCAACAGCTGGCAAGCACTCAGACAACCTACGGGACACAAAGAACGATATCATGGAGCTGAACCGTGTGATTCAAAGACTGAAGGCTGAAATTGATAGTGCCAAAGGTCAGGTAAGCATTGGCAGCTTTGTGTTTGGGAGTCTGTCACAAGTATAATATTATAGCCAGCAAAAGAAGGGGAGGGGGGAAGCTGAACTGATGTTCACAGACAGCCGCATGGATGTGGGTCCAGGAGTGGCAGAAAGAGGAGCACCCAAGAAAAGTCAGTCACAGACCATCCTAATGAATGCTTTGTGAATGTTGAGTCAATCCAAAGCTGTAAAATAGGATACTAGGAGTTATAAAAAATTTTAGTTAATAGGCAGTCTGGCGGGGTGGCTTGGTCCCACATAACCTATTTGATATACTGCTGCAGCTAAAAGAAAGCACGTAGCCTGCTCTTATGATCTAATCCCAGCTTTCAGACTGAAACCAACAGGTTAAATATAACTATGTTAGTTAGATTTATGGGCCTGGTAGAGGAGGACGGGTCAGAAAAGGCCTCTGGGTTTCGTCTCTGCAGCGTAGCAAACTGGAAGCAGCCGTCACAGAAGCTGAGGAGCATGGAGAGATGGCCATCAAAGATGCAAAGTGCAAGCTGACAGAGCTGGAAGAGGCCCTGATGAAGGCCAAAGGAGACATGGCCCGGCAGCTGCGGGAGTACCAGGACCTGATGAACGTCAAACTGGCCCTGGATATTGAGATTGCCACCTACAGGAAGCTGCTGGAAGGCGAAGAGAGCAGGTGGGCTGTGCTGGACAGCTCGATGGCTTGGTGCATGGGTTAAGGGCAGCGGAGCACATGAAAAATGCTTTGTGTTGCAATATGCTGCAGTTTTGCCCACCCGGGGAACCCCACGGATAGGGGACATGACCTCCATATAAAATGGAACAGGCACATGGCTAGGGGTAGGAGAGAATTCTTTCCATCCATATTTTAATACACACACACTCCCTTTCACCCTTTTGCTCCATTATGTGAGTATTCACTTTTCTCCAAACATGCAGTGGAGTCCTCCAAGCAAACAGTGTTACAAAAATGCATGGATTGGGGAAAGAATGTGAAAAATGTATCATGTGAGGGTAATATATGCATAGTAATATACAAAAATAGGTGTTAGGGGAAATGTGCACAAAAATGCTCTTGAATTTTCCAAATTTGCAAAGTTTGGAGTGATCCGAATTTAAGACTAGCAAAATGAGAAATGGAGAGAAACCAATGCAGACAGATTCATCCATCTAGGCCCATGCTATCATGGACATCTGAAACATTTCCCGTTTCTTTCAACAGGCTGTGTGGTGACGCCTGTCCTGTGAATATAGGTAAGTGGTACCGACGTGGAGTTTGCACCTTTGCTATGAATTGCCTACGGGCTCTTCTGCTTTAGAAAGGACATTCACCAGTCTGTGCTGTTCCCTCCTTGCTGCAGCAGTATGTCGGACCCAAGGTGGAGTCATGTGCGATCCAGAACCTTGCACTGGAGGGGGATACACTTCCAGCAGTAGGACCACCATCAGAGGCGGAGGGGTGGTGAACAGCGGTGGCGGACCATGTGGCACCAGCATGGGAAGAAGTATTGTGGCTGGCGGTGGGGAGGTGGGCCTGCCGCTCAGAGGGTACAGCACTGGAAGTGCGAGAAGCTCTAATGTCAAGTTCGTGTCCACTTCCACTTCTTTTAGAACCAAATATTAAAAAAGAGAGCAAGATGGAGAGGAGCATTCTGAAAGGGGGACTCTTGCTTCTGCGGGGACAGCCACTGCCTTCTAGAAGGGACTTTAGGGCCACTTTGCATGCATTTTCTGTAGCCAGGTTTGCCACCCTGGCTACCAAACACAGGTGGATTGTGTCCAGATATGAGTGGTGCAGGTGTATATCATGCTCCACTTTTCCCTTCCAACTGCTTACAAGCAAGAATTGAAAACTTTCCCTGCTGCCGTTCCAATTGCCACTGAAAATGTGACCCAGAGCATCTCCAAAATTCCCTTGCAGAGGAAAACACAGTAGTGGCAGGTATATGATCTTTCAAGAAAACTTGCCTGCTGAAAAATTTGCTAGGAAGTTTCCCTGAGATCATAGTCTGAAAATCACTGCATTTGCAATTAACAAGAGGCCTGATGGGATGTGGATGGCTTGAAAGGTGACTCTTACATAGGAGGTAAGAACAGCTCTGAGGCTGGACCAGCCCAAGTCCATCTAATGCAGCATGCTGCTCACACCCCCAAGCAGGACACAAACACAACAGCACCCTCTGACTCATGTTCCCCAGCAGCAGGCATACATAGAGCAACTGTTCTGATGCTGGAGGTTGCATAGAGCCCTGAGGACTAGTAGCCATTATAACCTTCTCCTCCCAGAATTTGTCCTTTTCCCATTTAAGGCCGTCCTAAGGAGGGTAACATCTTCAGTTCATTCTGTGCACACCCATGTGGCAAATACAAGAGTGAAACTCTGTCTTTTCCCAACTAATTCATCACACTGCCAGCTAGCTGCACTGATTTGCAATTGGACTAATTCTTCATGATCTCACTGAGGTTTCTGGCTGCTGTCCTTGTTATTTGCCCTTTTTCCTTGGTTAAATTCTGTATTTTCAAATAAACCTATATGGCACATAGCTCCAGTATGGTGAAATTTCAGCTTTATGAAAATATGTAAGGTTTATCATCATCATCATCATCATCATCATCATCAGTATCTAATGTTATTAGTGTTCTTCCTGGGCCTTAGTATGAGATTTCTTTTCACATGACATTTATTGTGACTCATGACTGATGGTCATTTTTGGGCCCCTTGAAAGACATTTTGCTCCTCCAGTCTTGATTTGCTTCCCTCCTTGCTTGTTTTGAACAGGGAAGGAGGAATATTATTTCTGAAAGTATTTTTTCCATTTGTGGAATTACACTATTCTGCTAGGCCATAGCACCACCTAGAGATTATGTTGCAACAAAACTGCAAGTGTGTACAGCCATATGTTGTTAGGCTACCTCACCTAGCAACAAAACTGCAAGTGTGTACAGCAGATTAACATCCTTGTGTTGAGAAGCTCTTTGAGTCCCATTCAGGTCCTCTGTGCTCAGAGTAAACTCATCACCTGGGTATGAAGCCTTAGATAGCCAAAGCAGCACTCAAAGGACAGGCATCAGCCCGGTGGGTATGAAATACTAGGGTGGGATTGAAATGGAGCATCCTAGAAAAGGCTTGGCTGGCTGGGATCCCAAACAGAAGCATTCTGTACTCCAAAAACATGTTCCTATTTCCAGTGCCCAGAATCTCTTCCAGCCAATGCATGTGTGAACTGCTGTCAGCCATAAAAGTGCCTGATCGGAGGAATGCCCTCCCCTCAACTTTCAGTAAGCTCGCCCGGTCTATTTCCATCTAGGGCCAGTCAGGGGCATAGCTTCTAGGTAAGTGTGGGGGGGGGGGCACCTTTCTTTAACCACAGGTTGTTCTCTTCCAAGGGCTGAGCAATACTTAAAGCAGGACAACCACCCCTACTGCCTCCAGGAAAAAAATGCATTCATCACAGCCATGACACACCAAAGGGGTTGAGTGTAGCCTGTTTACCAGTTGCATTTGACCCCTTTTACTCACCATAGCTGCTACAGAGAGCTTTGAAAAAGGTGCTGCCTTGACCCATTTCTAATTCCACAAGCCCATAAGCACACAAGAGGGATGGGGGGGGGCAGGGGATGGCCGCTCACCTTTGCCTTACAAGACTCCCAACAACCCATTCTGCTTTTAGCTCCAGTAATACGAAGAAAAACTTCCAAAGCACTTTGAAGTGGTGTCTGAGCTCCATAGCACATGTGCCACATCATGTCCACAAGGTGTGGCAATATTTTCCAGTGCACTGTATTGTAGGTGTGCGGCCTCTCCCACCCCACCTCACTCTTTGTTGAGCTGGTGTGTGGGGAGGCGCGAGGGAAGTGGGGAAGGTGAGCCTAAATCCACACCAGCACCAGGCCCAAAAGGCCACATGCCCAAATACACCCGCCCCACCACATTCACACACACAGACACACACGCACACTCCTGTGCCGCCATTACCACTTGCGGCACCCGTGCTGTGGCTGGCCCCATTGCTCACTTGCAAAGGCACAGGCCAGGCCTGTAAAAGGCACCGGCTGCTCTCCCAGCTTCCCCTTGTCCTCCAGTGCTGGAAGGTAAAGGCCTGCAGAGGGAGCAAGGAGGGGATGGCACACTGGAGCTGAGAGAAGCCGTCTCCAGGAGAGAGTAACTCACTCCTCCTCAAGGACTGCTGTCCCGACCCATTTCCAGCCCCCAGAAGCCACCATTGGCACCATGAGGCCCACTTCCCCATTGCTTTACCACCTGTGGGGCTGGGAGATAGCTGACTGGCTGATACCTGACCCTTTGAGCTGGATGGGGGCAGGTGAGTGGCCTTACGTGACTGGGCCCTTTCACACATCACACCCACCACCCCAGCTTCCCGGTTCTACTCTGTTCCAGACAAATCACAGCCGTCTTCTTCACCTGGCAAAATCAGAAGCTCCAGATGGTCCATGCTGCACCTCCTTGGTCCCCCTCATTAGAGTAACTAGATCCTCCCCAGGTTTGATACCACAAATTCAGCCACAGCCTGGCCACACTTGCAGTCACTTAGCCTGAGAAAGTGTGAAAAGCATAAGGGCCACAGACTGACAGGGACGCGACTTTTGAAGCAATTGCTTTATTGGCAAAGAAAGAAAGAAAGAAAGAAAGAAAGAAAGAAAGAAAGAAAGAAAGAATCGCTCCCCAATGCACAGCAAAAAAGCAAGCAGAAAGAATGGGTATACTTTAATCAGAAAGAAAGCAATAATCCACAGTGAAACAGTATCTTTATTAGGGGCATCCAAAATATCACAAAACAGAATGCAAGCTTTCAAGTTCTCCAGAATGAGGGTCAGTGCAAGACATTGTGCCATTTGAGGCAGGTGAAGCCTCCTCTGCCCGCCCCCATCCACCACCTCAGCTTGCCTTTTAAAATGTTTGCAGCAGCACATGGGTGGCAGTGAGGGTGATGTCCAGCCTTCTGATGCCATCTTGCTCCTCTCTGTCACCCTTCCAGGCCAGGACAGTCTTCAAACACTGGCATGGTGGCCAAGGTGCACCCAGAGTGTCCCTGACCCTACTGTAGGGCTGCCATGGTGGCAAATGCAGTTGACAGCAGGTGCCTTTCGGGTATTGTGGACCACAACTCCCAGCATTCTTGACCATTGGCCATGCTAGCTAGAGCTGATGGGAGCTGAAGTTCAAAATATCTAGAAGGCAGGATCGGAAAGGTTTGTACCCCGAGAGGTAAAGCAAGTCAATTTAGAGTTTGGGGTCCTTTAAAATGGCTGCTGAACCATTCTCCAAGGCCACCATGCTTTGCGATGCCTGGCATTGGCTAGGCACTTCAGAGAGCCCCCAAGAAGCTCCACTGGCTGCTTTAATTTGCTGTGGCAGATGCCCAGGAAGAGATGGGTGGCAACAGCCAGCTGTGGGGGGGGGGGGCACAGTAATGGCAGCAAGTGATCCCTTGGGTGCCTGATTCAGGGTGTCTGCATCCTTGCCCTCTCTGGTTGGCTGCATGAGCCATGTGGCTCAGTGTGGCTCAGAGTTGAGCCAGCCCCATCCAGAACTCTTCCTCAGATTGGATGAGGAGTTCCGCAGAACTTGAAAGTTTGCTTACTATTGTGTGACATTTTTTATCTCCTCAAGACTTTCCTGAAAGTTCCTGCAAGTCATCTGTGCCCAAACTGCTTTAGCTACTTCTGACATTGCCCCAGCAATATGGAATCGACAGCGGCCTCTCTCCTTCCCATGCTGCACCAGTCATGTTGAATGGTCTGAGGCCTCACAGAAGGAGCAAGACCATGGCTACTTCCCATGCCTCTCAGGAGGCAAGACTATGCTGGCTTGGGAAGGCACCATCTTGTGGATTCCTCCAACATAGATATGAACTTTCAGTGTGAAAAGATTAGTCTATGGCTGAGATACACTACAGTGATTTCTACTCTACTGTACTAATATTGGAAAGGGGCCTTAGTCAGACATTGGCTGCACACAGAAAACAGAGGATTCATTTAAGGATTTAAATAGTTTGCCTCTTGGTCTTGCTGCTTGGCAATGACTGAAAGAGGCATTGTCACCAGCGGGTTCAGGAGAGTCATTGTCAGCATGGAGGCCATCAAGAGGAAGAGGAAGACGCAAAGCGCAGGGTGGTGCTCTTAACGCCTCTTTGCCCGGCGTGCGTCTGGGCAAGAAGAGCTGCAGGCATCTCCACCACTTGTCTCGATGCTTTTTGCGGCTGCACTGTCATCACCACAGGTGGCTTTAGTGCTACTGCTGTCACCTTCGCTGCAGGGGGTGTTTCCAGGTGGAGAAGTGGATCCTGCCCCACGGGGCAGGCAGGTATCATGCACTATGGCCCCCTCACTTCTCTGGACAGCTGAGGGAAAAAAGCCCCACACATTCATATTTTTGCAGAAAACCCAGACTTGGCTTCCCACCAGAATAAAGACATGTTCATGCAGAAATCCCCATTCATAAAGGAAATATTAATATGCATTCATAGGGGAGTTATATCCATTCAGTTCATTCACAAGGACATTCATTTGGATAATAAATTCATACTTTCTTTCCCAAAACTATCTACAACTTGGCTGTGCTGACCAAGGCATGCTGTGGGAGTAGCAGAGCCACTTTTCTGCCAGAACTTGGAATGGACTGTGCCCTTATTTATTCAAATAATTTGTTTGTTTATTCAAGGAAATCCATTTGAAGAAATCCATTCAATGCATTCATATGGCAATGCCTAGGGAAATTCCCAAGGCTTTCAGTGTGGGGCTCATACACCGAGATATCTAAGTCTATAAGAACACAATGTAGTACACGCACACCATGTCCGGGCAGCTGTGTGTATACAAGCAGCTGCCTAGTTTGATGGGACTTCAAGCTCAGATCGTGAAGGTGGGATTGTTGTGGAATCTCAACATGTCCAAGTAGTACCCCAAGGTCTGGGGAGACAGAGAGGGAGGAGCTGAGTTTGGGCTGATGAGAGCCCAGGTCAATCCACCCACGGGAATGGGGAGCTAGGGATTTGAAGGGTCAGGCTGATGGGAGCCCCACTGTACCAATCCATGGAGAGGAGCTGGAGCTGGAGGGTGCACATGTCTCACCGTGGGGGAGTGGGGATAGGGTGCTCAGTCGCTTGTCAAACACAGAAACCCCTCCTCCTGAAGAGGTGGTGCCAGTTGGCAGGCAACAGCCCCAGCAGGAGGTTTCACTGCGTGCAAAACAGGACGAACACAAGCTGTGTTTTATTGGGTGCAAAACAGGACACGATTTCACGGCGCTCCAGCCTCAGGAGTGAGATGCTGAAGGGAATGGTGGATGTTAGAGAGGGTTCCAGATTTCACTCTGGGTGAACTCAGAGGCATGGAGCAATAGTCTACTGGAAAGAGAGCTCTGCAGTCGTGTGTTTACTTAGGAGGAGAACCCCGGCTTACAACACACAGTGCCATGCACCATCGACCTGTCATAGCCTGTAAGTCATTAGAGGAAGTAAGCAAGGACCATCCACGTTCCGAGGCAATGCACCTCTAGTTACAACATCCGAAACAAGCAGCCAGAGCTGTCTCTTTCCATGGGTCCCCGAGTAGGGAAGGGGAAATCGGTGTGGCTTGAGCCCACAGAGGTTGCCCGAGTTCCATCCCAGATCTAATTCTCCTTCATTCCTCTTGCTGAGCATGTTTTCTCTTTCTTGTTTCCAAATGGGAAAAGTACACATTTCTTTTCAAGCATGCAGGCAAATGTGCACTTCTCCCATCAACTAAAGCATGAATACGTATTTTTTTTCCCCAAAATGCACTTTGCTAAAGTAAGCATTTTTCTAATGATTGTTTGACTGCAACTGCAAGTTCAGGAAGATGCGAGCTATGACCGAGGGAAGGCACTCCTGTTAGTCACAAACATTAGTCACATTTGGCATTGTAAATGGGGTATTTTCTGATGTTAAGAAACCTGAAACAAGATTCTCCAGATATGCCTAGCCCAGATCATGATTTAGGACAGGGCAGTGCTGGAGATGGAATGCTTGACGAGACAGAGCCTTGACGGGCTCCAGCAAGACAGTTATGATGCTCGTCAGCTGGCAGAGAAAGTGAGCAGTTTCTGAAGCTCTCGCCCATTGTGGGAAGGATAGAAGGAAATCAGGGCTGCCGCCCAGCTAAGAAATCAGAATTGATTTGCGTGGTTTTCTACCCAGCTTTCTACCAAAAGAATGGCACTCAAAACCCATGTAAAATAGATCACGTTGGTCACACACAATAAAATACAATAACCCCAAAGTCACTGCAGAATGAAAACAGCACCTAACCCACTGACTCACTTATAGGCCAACGGTCTTCTTGAAGGAAGCAGCCTTTGCCTGCCATCAGAAGGACAGCAGAGAGGGAGCAAAGCTTGCTTCCCTTGGATAGGAGTGCCAGGGCTCAGAAGTGACTACCAGAAAGGGCACCTCTCTTGTCACCACTTCAGACAGTGTGGTCTCAGAAGGAAGGCTTCTCCAGAAGATCTTAAGGATTGAACAGGTGGGACCTTGAGTGGGACCTTGCCCCACCTCAGGTAAAGTTTCCACCCTGGACATAAAGAGCTGAGTTCAAGGGAGGAGGGGGTGATGTCTGGTCCAGCTGAGGGCCAGACAAGGCTGACAACTCAGTTCATCTTGGCCTTCCCCTGTGTAAGCCATGGATGTCTTCCAGTTCTATGGGCGTAGCCTCCATCTTGTCTGGCTCAGCTAAAAAGCCCGGCTCAGCAGAGAAGATGGCCAAGGGGTGCCGCATAATGCCATTAATCACACCAACGAATGAGCAGGTGTTTGCTTTCAGAGACGGTAACAAGGTCTGCATTCCAGTACCTAACGAGTTTACATTTCACACATGTGGTTCCTGTGGGACTCTAGCAGCCCTCCCTGTAGCCCTGCTGATCAGTAGGTTGTCTGGCTGCAGCTGGACTTGCCAGGGTTTTCATGCCATTTTTGCTCGAGCTAGGTTGCAAGGTTTCATGGCATTTGCAGCAAAGAGAGCATAACTAGGAGCTCAGCCCCAGAGCTCTTTTCCTGAGCCTCTTGTGCAGACTGGCAGGCTTTGTTGACCATCTGTTCCAGCTGATACTGAACATGTAAGTTCTCCAACGAGGATTGTTGGAGATTCCCCACGAGATGGAGGTGCAAGCATGCAGAACCAGGGCACTGGGCAAATACCCACCACCCAAACCACCCCCTGGGTGTACCCTAGCAAGTGCCATATTGCATTCATTTCATGGTATCAGTGCGCAAACTACTTACAGATATTCACAGCACGCTCCCCTTCATTCAACCTGGTGGGAAATGAAGGAAAGAAAAATTCAGATCTCTGGTTGCATCAGCAGTTAGCACAACGTGACTCTTAGGACAGCTCCACATATCCATGACCTGGCATCTAGCTCTATTCAGCTGTCTGTAAGGCCATCAGTTCAGGGTGCCAAGGGGCAAGGAGTGCTGGCCCCACACCTCACCTGCCTTCTTCTGTTGGACCAGAAGTTCTGAAAGGAGTGGTAACCATGATCTGCTAGACATGCACAGAGTCCCCTGTGGAACAGGGATCCCCGTACTGTTAGGGGTCGCAGTCATTTGGAAGAGAGTAACTGTGCTCAGCTAAATGAGGTTGCAAGCTCCTTTTGGGTCCAACACAGGAAGGGGTATTTGTGAGTGGGAAGGGGGAGAAGCTGGTGTGCATGTCCCCATGTCTGCCCTATGATTATAAAAATATACAAAAGTTTATGTTCAAGTTTTCCAAATGTTCATATCCAGGATTTGTCACAGATGGAATCTTATTATTTATTTATCCTGCCTTTTTTCCATCCAAGGAACTCAAGACAGCTTACATCATTCTCCTCCTCCTTCTCCCAATCTTATCCCCACAACAACAACCATGTCAGGTAGGTTGGGCTGGGAGTCTGTGACTGGCCCAAAATCACCCAGTGGGCTCCATGCCTGAGCAGAGACTAGAAACCTGATCTCCTGAGTTCTGGTTCTGCACTCTTAACCACAACACCACAAGCATTTCATCTCACAGTCAAAAATTTAAATGCAGGCAGACATGTCATTTGGGAATAATAGCTTGTCAGTGAATGACTTCAAAGGGCTCAGTTACACTCACCAGCATTCCTCTCCTTCCAGAAGCCTCCTGTAAGTTGCAATTTCAATATCCATAGCCAGCTTGACATTAATCAGTGCCTGATATTCACGTAGCTGGCAGGCCATGTCTTGCTTGGCTTTGAGCAAGGCAGCTTCTAGCTCATCCAGTTTGCATTTGGCATCCTTCACAGCCGTCTCCCCACGTTCTTTTGCTCCAGCCACCTCTTCTCCTAGCTTGGAGCACTGTGCAAACAGAACGCAAAAGAAATATTTTCGTGCCCCTTCTTCGATATGGCCAGAGTGTGACTCGAGCTAAATTGTGTATCATTGATGTGGTAGCTTGAAGTGCCTGATCCTGCCTAATCTTGGAAGCTAAGCAGGGTCAGTCCTGGTCAGAACTGGGATGGGTGACTTGAGTGTATGATTCTATGATTATTGCTGTGAACTGCCCAGAGAGCTTTGGCTATGGGCAGTATAAAATATAGTAAGAATAAGAATTAGTAGTAGTAGTAGTCATGGTGCAGAAGTGCAGCACAGCGGCCATGCATGTCAGGCACCATGCATAGTGACCAAATTTCTTCCCTGCCTGCTCCTTCCTGCAGTAGTGGGTGAGGAAGGTTGCTAGTTGGGCGACGGGGGATCCACGAGCATCCACAGACTTCCTCTTGACTCAGCTCACTTTGCAGGACCAGGCTGAGCACGAGAGGAAGTCAGCAGGTGGGATGGCTTTCAAAAGGGCTCCTCTCTACCCTAGCAAGCGTGCCCAATGTCCATGCACCACTCACCATTAATCAAGCCCCTTGCAACCCCTGTGCAAGCGGCATCCCTCTTCCCTTTGTTTTTGCTGCGGCACGTGACATGGGACAAGATGCCGCTCACACAACCTTTATTCTGCAAACGCTGGAGACAGACTGCATGCACTTCATTGCAACATTACTGAATTCCAGTTTGAGTGTTGTGAGCTGCCCAGAGACTCCATTGGAGTAGGGAGCTGCATACAAACGTCAAAATAAATAAATAACTTCCTACCTGTTAATTTCCTGATCTGAGTTCCCCCCACATCTGCCCTGCTGGGGGAACCATACAGGTATGTTTGGCCTAACAAGGCACACAGCGATGCTGGGATGACATGAAATTTAAATCAGGAAAATGGGCAGAAAAGGTTAACACTCACCCCTTATCAGTGCCTCTACTCTGCTTTCTTGCAACTTAATTATAGGCCAACTGGAAGAGATCTTATTTGGCCCCAACTCCTGCACTCCTGGGACTAAACACCATCACAGTGGGATGGGATGGGCTGACTGGGAAACAGCGTACATGACATTGTCAGAAATACAGAAATCAGCCCTTGACATCGGGTGAGTCAGTTTCCAAGAACTCCTCCTCTTGTACTTGATACCGCAGTTCGCTGACTTGTCTCATTGTATTTTGAATAGACCATACATGAAACTCACCTGAGTTTTGAGACTGGCAATTTCAGACTCCAGGCTGTGAGCCATACGGGTTAGACCTTGAAGTTCTCCCTTGGCAATCTTCAGATTGTCACTGTGCCTTGCAGCTCTGGTCTTGAGCTCTTGATACTACCACAAGATACAAATTCCCAATTAAGAAGTGGAATGGATCACAAGGATCAAGGGAGCCCAGTCGATCTGCCCAGTTGCTTACCTGGTTCTGCAACCAAGCCTCAGCCTCAGCCCGGCTCCTGGAGGCGACACGCTCATACTGACGCTGGAACTCCTCAATTGCATAGCTCATATCTAGGCCCCGACTGTTGTTCATGTGCACCAAGACAGAAGTTTCGGAAATGCAGTTTTGGAGCTCCGCGATTTCCTGTCATGACAAGGAATGCAAAGACTCATTTACCACCATGCTTCATATAAAATCAAATCAAGGGATGGATGATTTCACTTTCCCTCAATTTCCAGTTTTTCCAAGCTTAAGTTTGGTTCATCCCATTCCCACAACAGTTTGAAGTTTATTTCATTTCAAAGTTGGCCTGAACACTTGCATGTATTTTTGTGTGCATTTTTTCTGATACACGATGTGATTTTGCCTAGATGCACATTTTCCAAGCGATTTTCCTAATGTAATGCATTTTGAGGTTATTTTCTGTAATGTATGTATGCTCATACACATCTTCCCAGATGTATGCACTTTTGTATATATTCTGAATGTTACCTATTTATTTAAAACATTTGTATGCCACCTATTGTGCCACAGCATTTCTGCATTAAATGGAACCCCCCAACATGCCTTATTCACTTTAAGGACATCCAGCAATCCTTTCTTCTCCAGGGCACCATGACTTGCTCTGTTCCTGTGGCATAGGAAAGGTGTTTCGATGTACTAAAGCAATGGATGCTGAGGGTATCTTGCCACCTGGGGCGGGAAGACACATGCCCTGCACTCCAGCCAACACCACGGCCGCTTCCTCTTCCTCCTCCCACCAGGTGAAGGGCTGTGGGGGCAGGCAGTCTTCCTGGAGTGCCTGCCTGGATGCTGGCCTAAGGGGTTATTCCTCAACGTGCGCCACGGGGCAGTAGCCTTGGAACTGCCTATCATTGCCCTTCCCAATCTGCCACCTGAGTGGGGGATTCGCCCTGCCTCATGGGAGGGCCGCCTTGTCCGAAAGTGAGCTACAGAGAAGCTCATAAGAAAAAGATGGACCTGCTGAGACGCAGAATGTTCAGCATGGCGGAGCTGGTGCACCAGATGCAGCAGCACCCTGGTGGATAGTGATCAGCAAGAAATGTGTTCAGTTTGCATCTTTAATGTGAACTTACCCGTTTTTGTATTTTTCAATCAATATGCAAACCCATGAGTATTGTTAGAGATTCAGATTTCTCTGAATTCTGCAATGCTTTTTAAAATATGCATACAAAATTTAGTGAAAATAATGTTAAAATGCTAAAGGAAGATTACTTGGAACCATGTGCACAGGAAACAACATGGTTTACAACAATTCCTACATTAAGAAAAAATGTGTGTGAGTTTTCATGCATTTTTAACCTCGGTCTTTGGTCTGAATCAAACTTAAGAATGAAGAACTGGGAAAAAAACCCTAAGAAAACTTAGGTGAAAGATGTGTCCATCCCTACTGGTGAGAGAGGAGAGATGACACTGGCTTATTAGGAGAGACTGCAAAAAGGAAATAGAAGTCTCCTTTTATGTTATTTTAAACTTTTTTTTTGGTGAGAATTGACTGACAAAGCTTGACAAGCAGTAGAATATCTTATCACCTGCTCATATATGTGGCTCAAGAATCCAATGTGTTTCATCAGGTTTTCCACCTTGCTTTCCAGGTCAGCCTTGTGGGTAACAGCACAGTCCAAATCCTGTGGGAGAAACAGAATCACAATGAGCAGCACCACATTTGATCCTCTTGGGACATGGTGACGTTGGAAAGGATGGAAGTAAACATGGGGGTGGACACCAAGGAAGCCAATGCCATGGAAACTTCAACTAAAAGCAATACAGTGGTCCCTTGGCTCATGAACTTAATCCGTTCCAGGACTCTGGTCATGACCCAAACTGGTCATGAGCCAAGTCAAATTTCCCCATGAGGTTCAATGTAAATAAGGTTAATCCGTTCTGTAACCATTTTTATCACAAAAATGTGAAACAAAGTGACAAAGAACAACAAAGTAACAAAGAATAACAAAGATCACGCCATCCCCCCCCCGAGCACAATTACAGCCATCTCCCCCCATGAGCCTGACCACAATCAGACCCATCTTCCCCGCACGAGTGTGACCGCGATTGTGGCCATAGATGGGTGCGGGTGCACTCGGGCAGGGAAGGCAGGCACGATCGTGGCCACCCCCCCCAAGCACGATCACGGCCATCTCCCCTCCTGCCGGGGCGATCACGGTTGCACTCATGCAGGGAAGACGGGCGCAATCGCAATCGTCACCCGATTCGAAGTTTGCAACCTAAGGCAAAATTTTTCTGAAATTTCTGTTTGCAACCCAATTTGGTTGTGAACTGAGGCATTCATGAGCCGAGGTACCACTGTATTTGAGATGAAGGAGGGGTATTCTCTTCCAACAGGAATTTCAAGAGATGCCAGAAAGCTTTCAGTAACATCTGCAAAGTTTCTCAGAGACATTCTGTTTATCCCTAGAAAACCATCACCAAATTTTGCCTCCACTGAAAAACAAAGTGAATGCAGTAGAGCAATCTAACCATGGGACAATTGAAGGAGGAGAAGCTGTGGATTAACAACCAGTTCCTATGCCTTATTAGAAGAAGAGACAGAGGAGCTATATGTTCTCATTTTTGTTGCTTTTGCTGGCCTCTGTCCCCAAGGAAAGGAAAGGAAAGGAAAGGAAAGGAAAGGAAAGGAAAGGAAAGGAAAGGAAGAATGCTTTCTCAATGAAAGAAATAACTAGGACATTTCCAGGTCTGGTGTATTTCCCTGTAGTTCCACAGGTACATTGGAGAAACAGGAGAGCTTTAAACTCTCTTCCAAACCAATCAGGCTTGCCTCCTTTTTGGCTTCTCTCTCACTGAAGCATGATGGCAAATCACAGCAGCAGCTCTTTCCATGACCACTTGGGGAAGTTTCTTAGGTTTTGCGCAGCACACAGAGTGATTCTCCTCAAGTGAAATATCAGAGTGGTTTTGAAGGAAGCCACAAGAGGTAACAGCTCCTCAGGATAACACAGCTAAGTTCCTTTAGCTTCATTAACAAGATGAGCTCTTCTAGTTCAATTCCATGCCTGTTATTTTAGAAAGCAGCCCTACAAGTCCCAGCATTCCCCAGCTAACCTGTTTTATTTCTGCTTAAACTATATAGGACCACATTGTGAGAGCAGGAAAAATGAGGACTGTTTTTCTTCAGCTAACACTTTGGAAAAATGTGAAATACTTGGGAAAACAGCACCCTACCTTCCAATGGTGTGTGAAAAAGGCCATGATCTGGACATATGCCAGGGCTATAAGCTACTCAGGCAAAATCAATTGGTGTCAATTTCAGGGGTTTGAAATGATTGTATAGAATAGATGATGCTACAAAAATACTGCTAGACTCACCTTTTTGAGTAATACAAATTCATTCTCTGTAGTTGTTCTCCGATTGCATTCGTCTTCATATCTAATTAAATAAAGGGGAAATTTGGAATCAAAATGAAGCAACAATCAGTTGGAGGTGGTGAGGGATTTTGTAAATCACTGAATCACAGAATAGTGGAGTTGGGGATGCTGGAAGTTTTCTCATCTTTATCATTACCATATATTTTTATAAAGCTGAGCCTGGGAGTAGAACTGTGTATAACTCCAATTCAATTTATGTGCAAGTGTTGGCTTTCTTGCCAAGGGAAAGGCTGCCAGTGAGGGATTAGGGGACTGAAAAAGATACCAGTAGGTCCAAAGGGGAGGATGAATTAGAAGTGTTGATAAACACTGTCTTATAGAAATAGTGGGTGTAAATGCTTATTTATGGTTTATCAAGGGAGCAACCCTATGTAAGTTTAGTTAGCATGTGAGCTTTAGAGCTTTTTCTGTTTAAACATGCATAGAATTGTGCTCTAACAGTATTTATTACTTTTTGTAATATGTTCCAAAAATATGTATTTCTAAGAGCATGGTCATAAGCATGTTTAGACAGAAAAAGCTATGCTGGCTGGGCATGCTGGGAATTCTAAGGCTTCTTTTGTCTGAAATAAGCATAGACCTGCACCCTAAAAATATTAATCATTCACCTTTCTGTCCAACAGGCCTCTCAGAGCAATATATAATTATACTAAAAATAGCAAGGTAATTTTAAAAGGAAAACACCATGAAAAACATGGCTTAAAACAGGCCAAATCAGATTTAAAAACAAAGCCCTGTTGAAGTCATACAGTTTTAATTGCCTGTCTAAAACCCAGTAGGAATGTAGTCAACTTGACCTCCATTAGGATGGAGTTCCACAGTCACGGTACTGCTACTGAAAAGGCTGTGTCTCATATACAGACCAATCTTTGTTTCATCGCCCTTTCTAGGTGGTAGAACATGCAGCAGGGCCTGTGATGAAGATCACAAAGTATGGGCAGACTCATATGGTACAAATCACCTTGATAATTAGGATGCTGAAATACTTAATATAGAAAGTTATAGAGTTTTTTCTACATGAGGCATGTATTTTAGGCTCATCACTTCCTAAACACAGTTGTTATTGATTCTTAGATGATGTAATGACCCACCAGTTTCACTTCTTTTTTAAAAAGCACTTTTGAGGGAGTCTTATAGAGCAGGGAAAATGTGGCTTTGTTTGTCAAAGTGAAAGAAATCACTTTTTCAGCTTGTGGATCTGTTACACTAACAGTGCCACCTAGAGGTTACATAACTTAAAAGCAGGCAAAGAAGTGCTTGTGTAGTGTTCAGATCTCTTTTGTAATATAACGAAAAGTAGATACAGCAGATTGTTCAGAAAAGCTCAACGAATCTACATTCAAAGGCTTTTCAAAGGATTCAATTATTATCTATAAATAAGCAATATTAGGGGAGGAAGGTATGAGGAAAGTACTAAGTGATGAATAGGGCCATAGTCCTCCGATAATGTTGCATTAAGATTTCTATGTCATGTGGAAAATCTGTTCCCCCTTCTCCTTATGCCTTCTCCATGCCTTTGGGTATTCACAATGATGATGCATCTTATTAGAGCACCATACAGCCATCTACAACAACAACAAACTGTTTAAAAACCTGGGCACCCCTCAAGCTCACCTCTTCTTATGTTTTTCCAGAGCTTGCTCCGAAGCCTCATGCTCAATCTGTAGCTCATTTCTCTCCCGTTCAAGACACTCCAGCTCCTTCTTCAGTCTACTGGAGTGCTCATTAAAGAGCGGCTCCATGTTGCTTTTCTGACGTTTCTTTTCTTGCACAAAGTCCCATTTTGTTTTCAGTATCAGATTGTTCTGCTCCAACACCTGGACCTGAATTCCAAAAGGAAATGGTTAGTAGGTCTATTTTTTACAGCCCAAATATCATGTTGGGCAAAGCCTACAATTAATAAATGTCTAACAAAACAATATTTATTGATTATTAATATATTTCATGATTCCTCCTCCTCCTCCTCCTCCTCTCTCATGGTTTTCCATCACATTTTTTGCAGGGGGGTGTAACTGCTATATTTGCAAATAAATTCTCTTTTAAAATAGTCAAAATGAGAGCCATGGCATAGGCCAGAGGGGAAGAACCTTAGTCTGGTGGGCCAAATCCAGACCTGCTGGATCCTGCTAGATGATCCCACTCCTGTCCTTAAGGACTCAGCTCCTTTTGCCTGACTGCCATTCTCCAGGGCACTTCCCAGCTTTCCCCTCTTTTGAAAGGGTTGCAATTCCTCTCTCAAGACTTCGTTACTGGCAGAGAGACTGGCAAGTTAAACATGCTGGTCCTGGAATGCAGTACCTCTAAAATGTCATTAGGTCCATGGTTGGAAAAGATTCAGCACCCCTGGTTTAGGCTTGCTTATTTATTTATTAGATTTATATTCCTCTGTTTTCCTACAAAGAACTCAAAGCGGCTTATATCAGTCTCTTCCTGCTGCTTTGAATCTTATCCTCACAGCAACAACCCTGTGAGGCAGGTCGGACTGAGAGTCTGTGACTGACCCAGTGTCATCCAGTTGGCTCTGTGGCTGAGCGGAGACTAGAACCCGAGTTCCAGTGACGCATTCTTCACTGCTACACCACCCTGGCTGACTTTATAGCAATGGGGCCCATTTTCCCCTGGCTTCATGCCATGGCACTAGGATTACATGGAAAGCTTGGGTCTGCCTACTTGTATGAGGCCAACTGTGTGCAGCTTTAGGGTTTGTGATGAAGGGTGACCATTGGGTGGGGAGGACCTGTACTTCTGCTCAACCTGCAGTTCTGGGCCTTTCAGAGTTAAAGCCCTGGAAGAAGCATTTCTTGTCCAAAGGGTGCCACAACCCACAAAAGGCACTTCTTCCAAACAGCATCAATCCACCCAAGCCTTGAAACATGGGAACCTTCAGTCATTACTGTCAGTCCAAATCCTGCTTTGCGCGCGTGCGCACACGCGCGCACGCGCACACACACACATTCACATGTATCTTGGAATCGGTGTGACAGGCCGTGGTTGCCTCCTAAGGAGGTACTGGTTTTATTAAATCCGCCCTGTCCACATTTCACAGATTGTTGGGTATCTTTCCATGCACTGTCCACAACGCACATTCCTAGGGACAGTGGGGCCTTGATCCATGCTGTGGAGGGCTGTTGTTCAGCTCCCATTTAACTAACCGGAAGGGCCTCAAGGCCTTGCACATTCATCTTCACAAGAACAAGCCCAGCAGTATCCCATTACTGCGGACCAAGCTACTAGACCTCTTGCTGTGGGCCTAAAATACGACAGAAAGAATAGCCTCCCAGTTCCCTTTAGCCATAATTGAGTTGTTCCATGCCTCCGGCAGAGTCTTAACAAATTCTGTATTCCTCCTCCCAACCTTTTGTAGTCCACTTGGAGAGCCCTTGGACTAATTTAATGCAGAATATAAATTCAATGAATGAATGAATGAACCGACCGCAACTCACCTTGTTGATGAAAGAGGCCAGCTTGCTATTCAGGCACTGGAGCTCTTTGGTTGCCTGCTGCTTCTCCTTTAGGGCCGCACCGTCGATCCCCAAGTCCAGCGGTTGCAGCAGGGACTTTTTGCAGGAGGTAGGAGGGGTGTCCGATGCCCCTGCAGGAAGGCCTTCGCCAGCTTTCTGGACGTTGTCGCTACATGCAGGATTGGAATAGCTGTAAGGGCCGGCATGGGCAGCTTGCCACTGTCCCTGGGAGGTGGTATTGATGACCCGCTGCGGCCCACAGGGGCCAGCGCTCTTGCTGCTAAAGCCACCTGCTCCTCCAGAAAACGCCCCCATGTTTATGGGAGGACCAGCATTGGAAACACGGGGGCCGCGGCCTACTCTGAGGTAAGGAAGCGCCGGAGACGAGCTGGCGCTTTTTGGATCGCATCCAAAAGCGGGGTTATAAGAGTAGGAAGACATCGCTTCTCGAAAAGTGCTGTGGAAGCACTCAAAGAAATCCCCAAAGGCCTTTGCTGTTGGGGGGAGGAAGGGGGTGGGGGAAAGGAAGGAGGAGAGGCAAAGGCTTTGTGGGATTAAATAGGGCAAGTTGTCCTTTATATTCACTCTGGGAAGCTGGGTTTGGCTGTTTTGGGGTTGGGGGAACAGCAATTTTAGGGCATTTATGAGCTGGGAGTTTTCAGCAATGGGTCGCTCATGCATTGAGCTTAATAACCAGGCCAAATGCAGCTCCCTGTCTGAGTGTACATGTGAAAGGCTCCTAAAATATCACTGGATCGAAGGGAGCCATGGAACTGTGTCACCGACATGATGATGCCCAGTCCAGTTGCAGGTCCTTCTATAAAAGGCATTTCTCATCTTCCTGTAATACAACCTAATTTTAGATTCTGTCTTTGGAGACATCATGGGGAATAAGAGGCTCTCAGGTTCTACACGGTCAGAGAGGCATGAAAATGGTTGCCAAAAAAAGAAAAAGGGTTGTTATTTCACGAGAAGCATGCTCTAAGTGGCAGTTGCCGCATGACGCTTGCCCTGCAGCCAGCACACCAGTGACCATCTTGTTGCTCATGGGCCCAGGGTGTCATGATGAAGCTGTAGCAAATGCCATAATTAACTTTGCATTTTTATTGCTACCCCAGTTGCATTTACTAATTAAAAGCAATAATTATAGCATCTGTTCCTGATGCTGTTGCCACCCTTTGGAGGGCCTGTTTAACTCCCATTAATGGCTCCATTCTTTGAAAAAGAAAAGTAAGCAAAGCGTGTGCCTGTGTGTGCACACGCACGTGTATGCATGTTGCTCCTTTTGGTGCTGTTTGGGGATCTGGGGTGTACCTTCCATGACAGGCATGAAGGTGGAGGTGGAGGGACGCCTGAATCAGTGTGTCCCCATCATGCCCTCTCTCTTTGGGTTCAGGGGTGTGTCAGGCAGTTGATAGCCATTTTTCCAGCATGTTGCTCCTGCCAGGATCTTCATGGCTGATTTGAACATGAGGTTCTGCCGGCATGCAATTGGATGGGTGAGTGAAAGCTGCTGTATGGGCTTGTATGCTGCTGGTGGTCAAAAAAAAAAAATCAGTGAAGATGAACTCCTTTAAGGACTAGGGGCAACGATAACAGAAATAGATACCTTGTATACAAACACAGACCCCAAAATGCACTGACAGCAAAAAACAGATCTGGGCAAAAAACACAAGGCATTTATCATGCATTCATCATTTCCTGATCACAGCAACTCTGTAGTTTTGTTTATCTGTCTAAAGAGCACTTTCAACAGGGTCTATTGTTCCCCACTACCACATGCTCTTTTTTCCTTTTAGAAGCAGGGGAAAAGCAGCATGTAATTGTCAAAGCAAAAGAATACACCTTTTAAATTCTCTCTGTGTGTGGGCCGTTCTGTCGTACCACAGTGCCATCTAGAGCTTATGTAGCAGACAAGCAGAAAAGGAAATGCTCTTGGTGCAAAGCTTGAACCTCAATTCTCTGATGAGAGTGAAAGGAAATACGATGGATTAACAGCCTCATGTAAACAGCAGCAGCTCTTACCGTGTAATCCCACATGTGTCTACACAGAAGTGAGACCAAATGAGTTAAAATGGGACTTAGTTCATGGTGCACAAGTATTGGCTTGCGGTGTAACAGTGCAAACAAATCCACTTAGAAGTGAATCCCACTGAGTTTAATGGAGCACACTTCCAGGAAAGTGGGTGTAGGACTGCAGTCTGAAGAAAGACATTCAGAAGTAGAAAGATGGGTTATAGGGAAAGAGAGAAAGGAGAAGGCACTAAATGAAATTTTAAAAATGAAGTGCAGGAATCCTGCTCTGAGTCCTTGTCTCAGGTCACTCTGTATGAGATTGCTGTGGAATCTGAGATGAAAACCAGAAGGTCTTCCCAAGGATTTTTGAAGAAGTTGGGTAGCTATCAAAGAGGGTTCTCGGAAAAGTTCTCATTTCACCCAGCACTGAGACAGTTCAATTTGGTAAATCTATTCTTGCAAAGAGAAATGAGAATCCCAGATGAAAAACAGAACTTCTTTCTTGGTATCATATTAGAACTGTATGGTCTCCCAGCCTGCAGAATTCAACCACTGGTGTCTGACTGAACTCCAGATACTGGGGAGACTGAATAAAACACAGTTTTGTAGGTTGGGCATTCTGGACATGACTGGTGGCATCCTGGGTATCTTTTATAGGTTCAATGAACCACAGTTTTTCTGTTTTATTAAGCAAAAGCAAGGCACTCCAAGCTCATAAATGCTAGAAATGTTCTTGATCTCCCCATTATGAGGCAGCCAAGCCCAACACTCCGAAGAAATATAAAGGGAAAGCTCTTTTCGGAGTGAATCAGACGGTTCCACAGAGACCCTCCCTGCAATTTCAATCTCTTCATTTTTCAACTAAACTCTCTCAAGAAGCCATGTCTTCATCATCGAGCCCTGGGAATGGATCCACTCATTTTTCTTCCTGCTCCGATGTCCTTCCACCAGCTGGGACCAAAGGCCCCCTCGGTGCTCCTCCATCTTCTAGGAGATACAGTTCTGGCTTCCAGGGAGCCAGATTCTTTAGCAGCAGAAGTCTGGGTGGCTTCAGCTCAAGCGAATCTAGAACCGCAGGTAGCAGCTATCAACCTGCTCGATACGGATATGGTTTTCGGGGTGTTGGTGCTGGATATGGTTACTCTGGACCTGGATACAGTTACAATTCGTACAGCTCCTATGGGGTTAGACGGGCTGGGCCCAACACCACCGGGACTCCCTTCATCACCCCTGTCACTTGTAACGAGACTCTGTTGCAACCTCTCAACATAGAAATCAACGCTGCCGCCCAAGCAGTGAAATGCCAGGAGAAAAACGAACTGCAGTGCCTGAATAGCAAGTTCGCCTGTTTCATTGACAAGGTGAGTTCCCAAGAGAAGGACTTGGTTTGCATGAGCATGGCAGCCCACCTTGGTGCCCGTGGGTGCCAGTTCTTTATTTCAAGCCTTCGCCACTCGTGTCATTTGAACCCAGCAAGGGTGGGTTTACATGGTGGTTAAGAAACCACCTCACAACCCTACAATGGGCCGCGAGTTCTGGGTGGTTTCTGAAACATCCCGACAAGCTGACCCCATCAGGTTCAGATAACATAAGAAGATGCACCCAATGCTGGCAATTATGCAAATCAGCCTGCACGCATACAATAGTTAACAGGCCGGCATGGCTTCCTAACCACTCTGTGATCATGTAAACTAGACCAGTTAGTTACCTTTGTAGCTTCAGTCTCATCTCTTTAAAGCTCACCGGTCAATAATTTGCACTCCTCTTTGTCTAAAATTCCCCCCAAATCCAACTGCATCTGTACATAAAATACTGGAAACCAGCTCGAACATAGCAAAACACGAGTATGGATTTTTGCAGATGAATTTCAGATGGGAGACTTTTTTGCTAAACAATTCTGAATGCCAACTATTTCTAACACCCCATAAGCATAACTGCATCTTTCCCTCCCTCCCTGTTTCCCAGCTGAACCTCCCTATTATGGATACTTGAGAATTTTATATCACTGAGAACCAAAATACACGCAGGTTGCTTTGTGCCTTTCAGACTAATATGGAGATCGGAACTTAGCTACCCACCTACTTGGCAGCTCCCAAATGTTCTGATGCAGTCCTCTGCTCAAACACTGCATTTTAGATGGCATATTTTCAGATAAAATTCATGTAGGGCACCAATCCTTAGACAGAACTGAGTCCTGGAACCTCCAACATTCCCTCACTGGTACACAAAGACTATATTTGGTCCAAACACGCTTAGGGTATTGCTCTCTTGGAACAGGCATCTTTTGCAAGAGAGTCTCTTTTGAGATCTATATTTTGAGGCAAAAGGCATTTAAGGACCAACCCTATAGCCACTACCCTAGATGCACTTCAGCCTCCAGATTGGAGCTTACGTGCATCCAGTGCACCAAACAAAGCACGGTGGCAGCAGCCGCTGCACCTCACACCCGTCGTTTCAGCTAGGTGGCCGTGAAGAGCCATGGAGAAGGAGGGAAGGAAAAAGAGGCACCATTGGGATGCAACTCAAGCGGTCAACCCTGCCTTCTCCCCTCCTTGCCCCCTGGCACGCTCCTTCTCCTCTCTGGGACCTCGGAAGGGCAGCTGGAGCAGACTTTCTGATACTGTGAGAAGAATGGAAGCTCTTTCTTTGAAATCTCAGCCCTGAAGTTGCAGGACTCTGGACCTGGAAATCCAAATAATCCTATGACACCCCTTCTCTCCTCCCCGCAAACAATGTTGAGGAGCAGCAGGCTTGAATCCATAGAAATGCATGATTTGAGAGGGGGAGAAATGAGAATGCATACTTCAGTGAGGACTTTCATGGACCCAATTCATAATCTTTGCAGATATATGTGGGAAAGTGACAGAATGGACTCCTGGGGGAACATAAGCTGGAAACAGACTGGCTGGTGCATGGCACTTCTCTACCCACTGAGTACACGGGAGTGTGCATGAGGAATGGTGCTGAATATACAGAACAAGAGGCATGCATGCCTCTCTCGTGTACTGGTTCAGCCAGCCCTCCCTTCCCCAGGACCCCAGCTCAATCATACTGCAAACACAAATTGCTTGCTGGGTTGCATAAGAATATGAGCAGGGCACAGAGGCCTTTCCATAGCTGGTAGCAATAAGCAAAGCAGCAGGAGGGTAATTGCAGTGCAAATGGGTCACTTTGCTTGGGTGGCCAGTACCAGGGAATGTGGCTACATGGGAATTTTGTTCATGTTTGCAAATTGGTAGAACTTACCCCGTTCACAACCAGATTTTCAAAACATGCTTACACATTCCTGTGTTTGAGATTCCATTAGAAAAAAAATTGCTTCCCCTTCTCCTTTCCTTTTAAACGGGACTATCAAATGTTATTCAAAAATACTGATTTTTGCACTTTGGTCAATGGTGGGGACAAGAACACAATTTTTTAAAATAGCCACAGGCATATGCAGTTTTCTGGGTTGACATGTGAACTTTTCCCATTCAAAGAAAATGAAAAACTACCCATAGTTGCAAATGGGCACCACCCATTCAAGGCCCACTCATTCAAAGTTTCAAAGTAGAGTTTGGAGAATCCTGGATGCCTTGAGCATCCCTGGTTTTCCTGCCCCCTCAGTCAACACAGATTGACAAAGACATGTGTTTTCTCGGGAAACATAGGATGGAAAGAAATATTTCCAGGCTGGGAAGCTGGAAAATGGATGTTTGGTGGGTTAGATGGTTTGCGAGCTTGGTGTTGTGGGTCTTGTAATATGTGGTCTTGGGCAAGTTACTCATTCTCCATGTCTGATTCATTTACCTGCTGTAAAATGTTGTTGCAGCATAGAATGTGTTTATTGTCAGTCTGTGGCCTTGGGCGAGTCACATCCAGTCCAACATTCTCCCAAAATCCCAGTCCAGCATTCTTCTAAACATTCCAGTCCAACTGCTTTTGTAAAGTTAAGGAATGGTTAACTTCACCAATTATGTGTCCTCTCCACCTGGCACCGAGGCATACAGAGGCTTCCTTTAGCTCTCATGCTCCAAGAATGCTCTGATCACGTATACCTTGTGTACACATACACCCCACAAATACACAATGATAGCATGTCTATGCCGGGGGCAATGTCACAGGTAGGCCTGGTTGGGAACCTCCTGAAGGCCCACCTACCAAAAAAACCCCTCGGGAGCTGCTCCTCCTCTTCGCCATGGCAGCCTGCCTCCCACTGTGGCCCAGACATTGGTGGTGGTGCTGAGGAGGAGCAGGAGATGCTGTGTCCTGCCGGCTCCCTGGTGCTCAGCCCGCCTGCCTGTTGGCAGTGAGTACGGGGGTGGGGGGGGGAGGAAGGGCTGCTGGGGACAGCGGCCAAGGAAGGGGACACACTGGGACTGACTTTCCCAAGAGCCCTCCAAAACCCGCATCCAGCACTGGCCCATGCAGTGAACACATCCCAGGGGAAGCCTTCCTTTCCATGTATATAGATCAGTCTTCTGAAAAGCATGGGAAAATCCAAGCGTAGATATCACATTAAGGAACACAGAGAGTTCTGGATTGTAAGAGGTTCGGTATGAGGTTTTAGCTGTTTAATAGTTCAGCAGTTCTTGGCCCAGTACATTTTCTTACACCATTTGTGCCCTCACATGCAGACTTGGAGCATGGAGGAGATCGCGCAGCTACTCCTTAAAGCAGCCCAGGCAATCACCTGGCCCTTTTATCTATTTAGGTCCAATTCCTGGAGCAGCATAACCTGATGCTGAAGACCAAGTGGGACTTCTTGAAGGAAAAGAAGCGCCAGAAAAGCAACATGGAGCCTCTGTTTAGTGAATACATCAGCAGACTGAGGAAGGAACTAGAGTGCCTTGAATGGGAGAGGAATCAGCTGCAGGTGGAAATGAACAACTGGAGAGAAACGATGGAGGGAAACAAGAAGAGGTGAACACCAGGGCTGGATTAGGCATTATGCTCAGCACTTTGACGAGCTCAGTCCCAGGGCAACCCAGATGGCTGTGTCTGAATTATCTGAAGTTCCACAGAAATGGGAGTGCCGGGTAATCTGCCACAGAAGGCAAGGAAGGCCACAGGATTCCTCACTGTCACTTGCTGAGCAGCTCAGGCAGAACAGGAGAGGGTGCAGGGAAGGAGAGGCAGAAGAAACCAGAGCCCAGGAAAGAGGGATGCCGGAAGAGCTGCAGGCTAAGAGCAATGGGGAGGAAGGGCTGGTGGGTGTGAGCCAGAGGGTTCAGGGACAAGGCTAAAGGGAGAAGGCTCCAAAGAGCAGAAAATCGGGAGAGAGGTGCAAAGCGGGGAAGGCAAGACATAGTACCAGGAGAGCAGAGCACAACAGAGCCGATGTTGGTGTTAAGGAGGAAAGGACAGAAGAACTGGACCATACCTCTTGGGCCCTTCTGCTCTTAAGGCCCTTCTGCCTGGTGGCATCCCCAGCACCTGAGCTGCCATTAGGATCTGAGCTCCACTGGAGACACAGATGGCCAGAGGGAAGAGTCCTGGAGGGACCCAGAAAGAGACAGACACACATGGCAGACACACATGTCCTGGAGGGTAGAATCTCACACCACCATTCCTAGTATTCCTCATGTTGACTGGGGCTGATGGGAGTTGAAGTTCAAAACATATGAAGGGCATCAGGTTGGGGGAGGCTGTCCCAGACCTCAACTGGCCTGTTTGGCGCTGGTTCTTCAAGTTCCTGTATCTCTGAAGGCTTTGCCCTCATCAGGATTCAACATGACTGAGCAACATCTCAATCCCAAGAAGTCCATTTGGGCTCAGTGGGGCTTCCTCTCAGGGGTGTGGGTACAGGACAGCAGCCTGGTCATTTTCACTTACTATTATGTAAAGTTTGTCTTCCAAATCTCCCCAGGTTTGAAGAAGAATGTAACAGAAGGGCCTGTGCTGAAAATGAGTATGTAACACTTAAAAAGGTAAGTGGTGGCAAGCATACACCTTTGTTGGAGACCTTGAGAGATTTATTGATTGTCGTTATTGTTATATTCTGGTTGTTATTATTATCATTATCAAGTTTCTTAACTAACTTTTTACATAACATTCCAAGTTTTGGAATGTTTGAGTTTATATTTGTTCATTTCAGATCTTCAGATTTCACTGAATCTCACTTTATTGTGGCATTTTGTTCCAATACTATACATTTTTATCTTCCCCAGGAAGTTGACTGTATCTTCATGAGCAAGTCAGAGAAAGAAGCCAAGGTGGAGACCTTGATGCAAGACATTTGCTTTTTTAGAACTACCTTCGAAGAGGTAACCATCTTTCTATTCTGTTGGGTAACTCTTACTCACTTACAAAAACTGGATCTCACATAGTGTAAAAATAAAGCTGCCCAGCAGCATCAAGCTCCATACACCCTGTGTTCTTTGTAGGAAATCTCTGAGTTGCAGTCATGTATCTCAGACACGTGTGTCACTGTGAAAATGAACAACAGCCGAGGCCTGGATGTAGCCTGCATCATTGAAGAGTTCCGCTGCCGGTACGAAGAGATCGCCTCCCGGAGCCGAGCTGAGGCAGAAGCTTGGTGCCAGTGCCAGGTCTGTTGAGCTCTCCTCAGTATGGGACCTTGCCACCGCATTGTGGGTCTTTGGTCCAAAATACACTGGATTCCAGTGAAATGTAACCCAGTGATCAACACCGTATGCATGCCACCGAGGTAGCACCACTTTCCTTTGGTTCCCCTCTTGCTCCCATAACATGCAGTGCAGGGCCGGGCAACTTGTGATCTTTCCAGTGTTTTGGCCTGCTCCTCCATCCTGCCCCACCAGCCATGTTGGGTAGGCCAAAAATACAGAATTACAGAATCACAGAATATAAAAGGCCACAAGCTTCTCACCCTGAGGTAGAGGAATATTTTCATACTCTGAGATGCTCAAGTGCAGCAAGCCCCAGGTTCCATCTCGTGACAAACCCATGTGGCTCTGCAGGGCATTGACATTTTGCTCAGCCATATCATTTCCCCTGTTGCAGTATCAGGAGCTGAGGACAACAGCCACCAAACACAGTGACAATCTACGCAGCGTCAAAGACGAACTTGGTGAACTGACCAGAGCACTTCACAGATTGCAGGCTGAAATCTCAAATGTCAAAGCCCAGGTAAGTCTGACTCGGAAGCATCAAAACTGGCCACTGTTGCTGATGGTTCACAATGGAATAAGATTCTGGTTCTAAGCATTATCATCTTAGGAGAGGTTTGTATTATTCAAGAGTTACCACACTTCAACTGGCCCACAGAAGAAAAAAGCAGGTGGCTTCTATTGTGTGTATCATCCCCTGGGTTGGAGGTGGGACCCAAAACAGTCACTGCTGCTTGAAGGCTACTTCGTCCCTTTGCACGCCAGTTATAAATGATGGGGGAGGGGGGTGCACACGGTACAGAGTGGAGCTAAGTCAGGCTTCAATATCATCATCATCATTTTAATTGAGTCCCCCTATAGCTGAAGCTCTCGGGATGACACACACAATAAAAACAAAGACAACTTTTTAAAGTTTTAGAGGGGGCAAGAATGATGTAAAACGATTGTAAAAAAAAAAAGCAAAAACCCAACAGGGAAAAAGACTATGGTAAGGGGAAGCATTTTATGTATGATGGAAAATAAAACAAGCTGTAGTGAAAAGGTGTTTTTTTTTAAGAACTTTGAAAGTATAAATTGTTCTGACACTGAAAGCCAACAAAGCAGGCACATAGCAGACTTCTCTAAGAAGGGCATTCCACAGTTTGGGGGCCACCACTGTAAGTGCTCTGCCCTGTTGTGATGACCTGCGCTATGCTTCTTCCAGACTGGAGTAATCCACCTTTCCTCCTGCAGCTCTGCAGGCTGTGGGAGCTGCTTCTGTGGAGGAGCACTCCGCTATCCTACCCACCAGCAGCGTCTTGAGCAGGACAGTGACCTCCTGCCACTGCCACTTAATTCTGCATTTTGCGTAAACTGGACCTGCAGGCTTGGCAGCCATGAGCAAAATTGCAGATTGCAACCTCAAGCTTGTAGCAAAGCAGCTCATGGCATGTTTCCAGGGCTTCTTGACAAGTGGAAGACTGATTCTTGCCCATTGTATGGGAAGCAGCCCTGGAGGGACACCCTTCCCAAGTTGTACAAGGGCATTTTTCTCCTACGGCCACCAGGCATGCAACAGTCATGTGGGCCATTCGAGCTGAAGACCAAAGACTTGTGGCGCTTTCTCCAGGACACCAGCTGCTATGTGGGCCTGTCTTTGTCTCCTCCCTTTCCTCTGTGTCTTGCCCCCACAGCTTTGCAAACTGGAAGAGGAGGTGGCTGGGGCTGAGGAGCGTGGGGAGATCGCTGTGAAGGATGCCAAATGCAAACTGGCGGAGCTGGAGGATGCCCTGCATAAGGCCAAGCAGGACATGGCCTGCCAGCTGCGAGAGTACCAGGAGCTCATGAACGTCAAGCTGGCCCTGGACATTGAGATCGCCACCTACAGGAAGCTGCTGGAAGGGGAGGAATACAGGTGAAAACAGGAGGCTTTTACATACATAATTGTAGGTCTATTTGGGGAAAAAGTTCCCCCAGAAAAGTAAAATGAAGCCATTTGACTATGTAATAGCAATGCACTGTTTCAGAGAAGTGAGCAAATAATCTGAGTAAATTTGTATGCATGATTCAGGAAGCTGCTCGAGTCTCAATAAGTACAGACTGAGAACAGCGAAGAGGGAGGGTGCTGGCTCCCCCATACGCCATGTGCATACTCCTGACAGACTTAATTCTGCATGCATAAAGATGCAACCCGTATAGGTACCATGTACCTCTAATGGCTGTTGACAAAGCTGTTTGCTCGTGGAACCACCGTGGTGTGGCCGAGGAAGCGGGAAATGCCCACCCTTACTAGTAACAGCCATCAGCGATGGAAAAGAGAGTGTGAGTGGCAAACTGCCAGCAGGCTGAACCAGCAGCAGTCCAAGACTGATTGCCAGTCAAAGACTGAACACTTCTGATGGAAGCACCCAATGTCTCCACTGCTACCTCCTAACAGACTCATAGAAAGGACTGCCCACTTCCTTCAAGCATCCTGCAGTGGCAGGCAGCAGTCACTGAGGCCTCCACCTATTAGGAGTTCTTGAGATGGAGGTCGCCAGTGGCATGGACAACGTTCCCTGAAAGACATCTTGTCCTCTAAGATTTAGGGACATGTCCAGCCCCAGAAGAGTATTGGCTGTGTTTTAGGCTGGACTGTCTCTTGATCCAAGGCAGGAGTGAGACCTAGTCTGGCCTGAGACAAAGAAAGAGTGGGCCCTGCCTCCCTAAGAGTTGAACAGAAGGGGAACTTTCAGCTAGCAAACTTGCAAGTGGCACTGACTGAAATTCTCCCTTCTTCGCTGCTCTTAAGCATGCAGGATCCCTCTTCATTCTGCACCCAGCTGCCCACGATTAGTGGAATAGATCAAGCTAGAATCACAAACTCCTATTCTGACATTCCAAAAATGAGCACCAAATGAGGCTTTAAATACACACGTATTTCACATGGTGAGTAAGTTTTATGAATGTGCCTCCAAGTGGTGACAACCAGCATTTACAATATCAGGCTGCCGGATAGTTTGATTTAAAGCCTTTGTCCCAGTGTGGTAATAGCAGTGATTCACACTTGGGTGGTTACTTTCCCCTCAAGAATTTACTGGAGCAGATACTGTATAGATGGATGAGAAATTTCCTGAACCTATGCACTTGTACACCAAAGTCTACATTTTTTCAGAATTTGGCTATGCAAGTCACAACTAAGAAACATGGACAAAATGTACATATATTATACATGCATCATGTAAATATATATGGGCAAAATCATTTGCAAACGTGTATATTCAGAGAAATCTATACAAAAATGCATATGGATTCTTCTGTGTATGTATGTGAATTTAAATACAGATATAGATACAGATATAGTGCTGAATTCACAAACGAATGCAGAAAGGAGCCAGAACAAGCACAGCTGGGAAAATAGACTGATCTGTCCATCCCTGGGATGTGGGTTGAGTCTGGCCTTTTGTAAGTCATTAGGGACTGCAGGTGGTGCAGTGGTTTAAACTGCTGTGCTGCTGGGCTGGTTGATCGAAAGGTCGCCGGTTCGGATCTGCACAATGGTGTGAGTTCCTGTTGCTCTGTCCCAGCTCCTGCCAACCTTGCAGTTCAAAAGCATGCAAATGCAAGTAGATAAAAAGGTACCACTTCGGTGGGCAGGTAACAGCGTTCCGTGCACTTTGGTGTTTAGTCATGCTGGCCACATGACCATGGAGAATGTCTGTGGACAAACGCTGGCTCCCTCGGCCAGGAAATGGAGATGAGCACCGCCCCCTAGAGTCAGGCATGACTGGACTTCATGTCAAGGGGAAACCTTTACCTTTACCTTTACCTTAAGCTTTCTGTGTGTTCTCCTGGTTGGAGATTGCTTCCTTAGGGACCCAGACCAAAATGACTGGATGAGTAATCCCAGTTCACACAAGCATACCTGTGTCTGAATGTCCACCCACTAGCTTGCATTGCATCTTAGGCCACAGGCTTGGCAGAAACACACATGTATTTCCAGAACAGGGCCTTCAGTTTTTAAAAGATAATTTAATCTTTCTACTTCCTTCCCTCCAGGATGAGCGATGGAGAATGTGCTGTGAATATCTGTAAGTGCCCCCCAAAAAAACCTCCAGAAAAGTCATGCTAATTTAATTATTTTGACTAGAAGCTTTCTGCATACATCTTTCATGCACTCCCTTCTGCTTCTTTTTTCTCCGCAGCTGTACAAAGGAGTCAGGGCGCAGTCGTGTGCAATGTGGATCCCAGCCTTGGTGCAGGAAGAGGTGGAGGTGTTCTGACCAACGGAAGAGACACCTCCAGCCCTGCAGGCTTCAGCACAGGGAAAACTGTGGGCGGTCCTCCCTGCGGGCACCCTTGTTCTCCACCTCCTCAAGGATTTAGCATCCAAAGTGGAAAAGGCTCCAGTGCTAAGTTTGTAGCAGCAGCTGCTCCTTGTGGATCAAGAGGTTAAAGCTAGACCATGGGTTTCTTCATTCAAATAGAGATGCCTGAATTTTTATCTTATATTGCTGATTCTACTTTCTTCTCCTGAATCAGCAATTCTTGTACATTTCAGGACAATCTCTAAGGAGTTCCATCCAGCTAGACATGCTCCCTGACCTCAGGTCGCTTACAATTCACAATAGGCTTGCAGTACCTTCTGAGTCGCACCCCTTTGCTCCAAAAGTGTTTCCAAGCAGAGAGCTCCTAGTGCTGCTTGTCAAAAGGTGTTGCGCAGCTATTGCAACTTTTCTCTCTTAATAAATTTTAACTGGGGAGGAAAAACACAGGAGAAGCACTGGGAAAACATGGGAGGGTTGGAAATGGAAGACGATCTAAAATTTCAGGAACCAGGCAGAGCAATCATATGGTAGAAGCCACATTTAGAAGCACCCCAAAAGTCTTCAGACCGGTTTGTTTCTGTGGTCACTAATTTTAATTTAGGATAGAGGTCAGGGAAGACCACCCTAATGATCCAGCACCTTTTCTCCGACTTGATTAAACCCCTTATTAGGAAACACTGATTTTAAGATGTTATTCTTAAAGTTTGGCCCCCACAATTAACATAAAGTGTTTGTTCATTTGATAATGCTATTTCTGCTTGATTATTTTTCATGTGAAGGTGAATGCATTCTTGCAGAAAAAGCAGTGTTAAAAGACGGAACTCATAAATACTCTGAGTTTTTCCCTGCCCATTTCACATCATCTAGATCTGAGTTTTGCCCTAGGAAGCCTGTTGTTTATACAGATGCTATGAGGATTATAAACATAAATGTAAAATATTTGCCTTGACCAAAATCCATCTTGTTCAGCTGTCTTAATCTTCCATGCCGGCTAACCAAGTGCCTCTGGACTTTCAGAACCTGTGAACTCCTGTACTTAGCCTACAGTTTTGAGTACGTAGAGTTATACTGCCTTTGTATTTGGAAGTTCCATTTTGCTGTCACAGTGAACAACCAGGATTCGATCTACTCTCCCCAAATACGTCTAAGCCTCTTTCTTTGTAATAGTTGCTCTAAGCTAGGCATTGGTTCACAGCGGCATGTTTTCTCACAATAAAAGATGTTGGGGAAAGACGACAAACCCCTCACCGTGAAAGCAATAGAGCAGTTCAGTTTCAGTGCTCATACTACAAAGGCTACAGAACAACAAAGCAGCCTCGGGGGAATGGGGAAGGAGGCAGTGTTGCTTTTCAGCTCCTTATGTATCTGCCAAATTGTATTTCAGTGAAAAAGCTTTAGCGTTGCATGACTGTTAGCAAAGCATAGCAAATGAGAAAGCTGAAGCTGTTTAAGCCTGGTGCGTGACTTTACTCCCAGGGGTGGGGTTTGCTTTTTTTAACAAATGAGTTTTTTGTGAACGTCTGTTTCCAATAAACTGATCTCGCTAAGCAAAGACTCCGGCCTGCTGGGATTTCCTTATGCCATGAGAGTGTTAATGGTACACTTCAGCAACATGCATCAGCGTGTAACAGTTGACCTGTGTGTACCTGCTAAGACTACTATCCAGGTAGTCGGTGTTGGTGGGCACTTCCAGGCCTCTCACTTCTCTTGCTTCCATGATTAAACTACACTTGGACTAGCCAACCTTTCAGCCAGAAGAAAGCTGCACAAGCAGGAGCCATGGGCAGCCTGCATCTCATTGGAGCCATCTCAGCTGCTTCTTGCTTGGAGCTAGCTTGGCTGAAGGCAGGCCAGAAGGGAGGAACCAGGGACTAAGGCAACAGCACCTATTAAGTTGGTTTGGACGTGGCTTGATGCTCCAAGGAGGTTTGCCCTCTACTCCTCTTCAGATGGGCAGGGCAATCCTGCAACTGCTCCTAAAACAACATCAGCGACCCGTTTCATTCGATTTGTGTTGCTTCTGCCAACAGCAACAGAATCCATCTTCTGGTTGAGTTAACTCCAAACGACACAAGGAAGGCCTTGGACTCAAGCTGTTCTTTAGAAGTGCTTAGCATGGATTAGGGCTCCCTCCAGAACTTCTCTTTGGCTTGCAACTCCCATCACTACCAGCCAGCATGGTTTATGCTCAGAGAAGATGTGAGTTGTAGTCCAAACGTTGAAGACCTCATGCTGGCGGTGGATGTTTTAGCCAGACTGTCCTCTTCACAGTCAGGGTTTGGAGGGGGCTCAACATCCCTACCCTTTCTTTGCACATCAGCAGATAAAGGAAACCAAAGGACTGATTGCATATAGGAGTAAAATTGCTACTAGGGCAGAGGTGAGCAGATATCAGCCTTGCAGGATCCATTTGGCTTATTTTTACTAGAACCCTCAGATCCATCAGCTGGGGCCAGGTACAAAAGACCTACTGTGGGAATTAAAAAAAATTCTGGCCTTGGAATTCATCTGGATTGTCTAAACTGAATGAATTAGCTTGCGGTCTTACAATTCAAAAACCCACGCCATGTTTTGCCGGTTGCAGCTGTATAATGTAGGTTTCAGGGAGGGGCAGGTGGGTAATGTTGCTGCTATTATTGCTCAATAGGCAGGAACAGATCTGTTGTATTATGCTCAGAAAGGTACCAGTAGATTCAGTCCTACCTTCTGCACCTGTAGTAAAGTATGTTATCTTGCGAGAACACAGAGGTGATGTCAGTCCATAGATACTTGCAACCTGTTTGGGTATGATGTGTACTTCCACTCAAGTCATACCCAAAGTTGGAATATCTGCCTCTCACAATGTAATCATAGATCCGACCTTGGGCTGCATATTTGTGCATGCAGACACGCGATGCAAGCTGTGAAACTCCAAGGTTGGTTGAATGGCAGAGCTAGGATTTAAAAGCACTTTTGTAACACTCCACTTGCTTGTTTGCTTGCTGTTTCTCTTTCTGCTTTAAGGAGCCAGGCCAGGCCAGCATAATCTGAGTATGTAAGCTTATTTAATAGGATTGGTGCGGGGGGGGGGGGGTGATGGAATAATACAACTCATTGGTGAGTCTAGTTTATACTGTTTTTGAAAATGGAAAAATCATAAACAGCCTTACAATGTCTTGTGAGAATGGAGAAAGGTATAAACAGGCTTATAAAGTGTCCCATTAAAAATATTGTGTGCCAGATGGCTGGCTAATCAACTTTTATATCTTCGAACACTCCTCTGTACAATGCTGGCCCAACCTCTCATGATGCCTCAGCTCCACCCCTGCTGACCTGCTTTCTTCCCCTTCAGTCAACTTGTCCATGAGCCACCAGTGGTGAAGGCTTGTGGGGGAAAGAGGGGGAAAACAGAAAAATCTGGGGACATCGCCTACCACACAATTTACCTAAAATCCTGGTTGGAGCAGGGGGAATGCTGTGTGTGTGTGTTTAAAGAGAAAAGCCATCCCCACCCCCACCTCCATTTTTTCCTGGCCTTCACATCTCTACTGTCTGCTGGAAAGGGCTGCCGTGTACCAGCAGATGCCCATGCTTACCTTGGACCTGCTGTGCCCACGTCCTCCATGTTCAGGAGCGTGTCACTGTGGATGCTGCATCTGTCTAATGCAGCATGGTGGAACGGCAGCCTAAGTGCCCTTAAAGAGTGTGTGTCACTGCACTACACTTTTCCAATCCCATCTTTTTCACCTTTTGAAAGGTGGGCTCCCATGACTCTCCTCCTCTCTACTTTATCTTCACTACAACCCTGAAAGGTATGTTAGGGCGAGAGTCTGCAACTGGCTCACGGTCACTTGTTTAACTTCATGTCCTAGTAGGGACTAGAGCCCAGATCCCCCAGGTCGCCAATCCCCCACTCTCACCACTATACCACAAGGGTTCAAACAGGCCTGATGGCACTGATAACATCCAAGCCTGGCCCATACTTGAGACAGTATGGTAAAAGGTGACAGTTTCTTGTAGAAATAAGGAAGTTTAGCAACTCGTTCAGTTTATTCTACAAGGCAAATGTTTCCCCAACTTGCATGCAAGAGACAGAAATGTAGCGTCTACTCTAGCGGTGACTTCCTCGTTCCCAAAAGACCATGGTTGCAGCTTGAAGTGACACTGCATGTGTGAATGCAAGCCATGTGAAAATTTCTTGTTATGGTAAACTTTATTCAAATATTTCGATTTTTAGGAATGGGGCAAGGAGGAAACAGGGAGTATGTCCTTTTTTGGTTGAAACTCATGAACTGCCTTGCTTTAAAAGAAGGCAGAGTTCATGTTCTTTTTGTTAGGTCTCCAACTCAAGCTGCTTGTTGAAGAGCAGGCAAAGCTGAAACTAGAGAGGAAACTGAAAGTAGCAGGAGGAGGAGTGTGAGGGAGGAGTCTGCCGCCCATTCAAGCATTGGCCTCTTCTGGCCTTCCAGATGTTTTGGCTTATGATTCCCATCAGTCCTAGCCAGCAGAGTCAACCGTGGAGGAGCAGCTGTAGGCCAAACTTTCCGGAAGATCACAAGTTGCCCAGCACAGCAAGACCATGCTGCTTAATGCATGAACAAGAGCAACATACTACTCAGAGGAGTCCAGTTCAGCCTATTACGCCTTTTGGGGTGTCCTAGAAATAAAATTATAGGGTGCACAGATTTTACAGTGTAAATTGTGGTTTAGCAGCTGCACTTCGATGTGGGAAGTTACTGACTTGAAACTATGCAGTCACAATTGTGAAGAATTAAGTTGAGCAACGTAATTTGCAAGAGCTGCACATTCAAGTGAAGTGCTTACTAGCCCAAAATTTTCATTGCTGTTGCAATATATGAAAGTTTAACAGAACTGTAGTTTTGCAGTTCTATATGATGAGGAAATGGAGAGGGTTCTACTATTTGAGTCGCTAGCATTCATAGAGAGAACACATCTGTGAATTAACTGCTATTAACATGCAACAAGACCTTTCATGCTTTTGGCTGAAATGTCTAATTTCCTTTGAAAACCCATACATGCTTCTTTTTTGAAGTACTCTCCAAATTCACCTTGAATTTTGCTTTAGGTTGAATTTGGTGCCAATAGTATTGAACTCTATCCATGTAAATATCAGTATCATTTAAGCTTCCCCTTAAATGTCCTATAGATCAGTCTTCCTCACACTGGTGTCCTCCAGATGTGTTAGTTTAAAACTCCCACAGTTCCCAGCTATATTATAGGAGCTGTAGCCCAGCACATCTGGAGGGCAAAGGGTTGGGAAAGACAGCTTAAGCCAGTGATGGCGACCTGTTTAGAGTGCCCAAACTGAGACTCAGTACCCACTTATTTTGCACAAAGTGCCAACACTGCAATAAGACCTGAATTTGCTGGCCACCAGCACAAGGGGGCAACGTTCCACTGACCACCAGCTTTTGGCCAGCCCTGAAAAAGGCATCTGAGTGTATTTCCTACCTGAGTGTATTTCCTACCTTCCCTACCTTCTACTAAAATCACAGTCCAAGGAATTCCCTGGCAGCTCACTGACTGGCCATGTGAAAGCTCGGTGAGTCACGGCTAATGAGTGAGTTGCCAGGAGCCCTTAATCTTTCCAAATACGTGCATGGCTGCTGGGGCGATCGGTGCCATAGGTTCACCATCACTGGCTTAAGGCATTCAAGATGAATTGTTGTTATGTGCTTAGCCAGGAAGCTTTAGTTGGTTCAAGACTTTTTGGGCAGTTTTTTGTTTACAGCAGCAGAATGGACCACATAAACACACCAGAACTTCCAATCTGGAGAGTGGGGCACACATTTCCACAAGAAGATTTTTTTGGGGGTGGGGGGGGGGTTGCAGGACTCCTGCTGACTGTTTCTCCTGAACTCCCCAGCCATTCTTCTCAGGTGGAAGACCAAGTTCTGTGTGTCCATGCCCTGTTCTGGACCCCTAAGTTAGCCTGCCGCTTCTGGTTTGCTGGAGGATGCAATTTCATTGCAAGATTTAAAGTAAGAGTCAGCTGCTGGTTCAGGTGACTACTGTCTTTATAAAGGGGAGGAAGGACTCTCTTGTCCTTATCCCCAATCCTGAGCAGCAAGAAGTCACGGCCTGTCCCTGCACCTGAAGCCAATTTTGCACCTGCTCCATTGGCTACCTATTTCTTTCAAGACCATGACATTCCAGATCCCAAATAGCCAGTCTGTTTCAGGAGACCCTATAAACATGGGCTGTTTTAGGAATTGCTTTCTCCCACACAAATCTGCATGAGAGCTTCATACGGTTTCCTCCTCTCTTACTGTTGCTTCCACACCAACTAAACTACACACTGGGGAAAAGGCCTTTTGGATTGTGGCGCTTAAACTGTTTCATCATTTCTTCTCAAAGTCTTCAGTTTTCTGCTCTTCAGCAGAACACTGTACTCTCAGAACAGCTTGCAATATGCACTTAAATAATACAATTTAAAATGGACAATTACCCCTAACAAGGAGGGGAAAATCAAGAGATAAGTGCACAACCACATAGCACAGGCTCTCATGGGAGGTTTCATGAACTCATCTTTCTCTGCTTTTAAGTCATTACCTAAGATTGCTTTAATTTGGAGGGCAGTGTTTTTTTTTTAATTAGAGCACCTAGCTGAGAAGTGTTTATCTAGTACTGTGCGCGCGCTTTCATGTTGTTTTATTGCTGTTGCGAATTTCTTGTAATTTTCAGAAGTCTGTTCTGGCCTATTTTGTGTTGGTAGTTTTGAAAACCCCATGTGCCGTCTTGAGTATTCCTTGGGCATAGAAAGGAAGTATGCGAGTATATGTGTGTGAGAACAAAAATACCTAACTGTCTACCCAGTCAGAGCCTCAGTTAGCTTCTCAGTGCATCTGTCCGCTCGACTCCCTTTTTACCAAAATGAGGAGTGAGTGATAAATGCAGATCCCAATCACACATCACATGCCAACACAAACACAATAGAGCCATACAGCTAGGAAGGGTTCTTCCACTGATGAAGCGGACGGGTTGCAATCAGATCGTATCTGCCAACGAACCAAACCTGTTTCTCTCAAAAGAACTGACCTCCTCAGATGGCAAATGGACCTCCACCCCCTCATTTTCTCCTGTATAAGCAGCTGGTCATACAGGAGCTGTGTGCACTGACCCCTGTGTACCCAGGATGCTGAACTTAGATGGACCTTCGATTTGATTCAAGAGGAGCTGCACTGCAGAAGAAAAGCAGGGCACTTCTTGTGGTCTAGATGAAAAGCTGCTATTTTTTTCCCGGGACAAAAATACAAGGGTTGCAGTGACAGACCTGAGTGCAGTCAGGGTAAATTCTGCTCCCTCGGCCTAGTGGTGCAACAAGTCCTGGGCCTTGGGGCCAACGTGCACATTTGAAATCCATACGCTCAGAGTTTTGTTTGTTAGTTTGTTAGTTTTTTAATTGGGTTTGCCCAGCAATTTTGTTGTTGTTTTAACACATCAGGGATGTAGAAGCAGTCTTAAAGCACAGAGCAGCTGCAGGGGAGTGAGGGAAAGATATTTTAATGATGTCCATTGAAAAAACCCATAAAGACATTAACATTGCCCAGCAGCAGCACCAGCTGGGAGTGGTGGTGCTGACAATCTCCACTAGGAAGGACCCCATGGAGGGAGGTCCGCAGCAGGGTGGGAGTCTTGGCACTATTTTCAGTGAGCTTGCATTTCTTGTCTTTTGTTGGCCCTCCCAACCCTTCCCTGAGATCCACTTCCTAAACAGCTTAAATGTTTTGCAAAAGATGCCGCTTGTCATGCAGCAAACCCTCGGCTACATCAAAGGGATCTTTTGCGGGCAAACAGCAAATCTGATCGTAAAGGCATCTTTTGGGAGAGGTAGCCTGACTAAAAGGTCTATAAACTGCAATTTGGGGAGGTCACGTAGCCAGTTGCCAGCATAGCCAAGAAGGGGAGGCGAGCCAAATCCCAACTTCTTGATAGATCCGCATGTTAATTACAAGTCTCGTTTCCTCCATGTGTAAAGAAAGGGAGGGTGGAATCTGCACTTTAATACGGCATTGTAGGTGCGGTAAGCGGCGGCTTTGTGAAATCCCCAAAACCAGGTGAGCACCGCTGAACGGTATGATGAGCACACACAGCACTTGAGGAGTTGGCTCCCTCAGCACTAACACCACGCTAATAAATCCTGGGCAGTTGCTGGATCCCCCGTTTTGATGCCAACCAAGCCCAGCTGCCCCAGACATATATAAAGGATGCACTTCCTGGCTGTCCAGCACAGTGCGTTTGCATCTTTCACGCTGCCTTTTCGCCTCCGCTCTCTTCGCTGAATCCTGCTCTCCAGCAGAAGCATGTCTTGCCGCTCAAGCCCTGCCTGTGGCCCAAGAAATTTCAGCTCTTACTCAGCTGTCCTGCATCCCCCAGGAAGTGCATCCGGAGTCAGCACTGGAGTCGCCCCAGTCAGTTACGCAGGAGCAAGGTGTTTTAGCAGCAGGAGCTTGGGAGGACTGGGCTCTTGTGGGCCAAGAATCGCTGTTGGCAATTGCCTGCCCCCACAGTGTGGATATGGCTACTGGGGCAACTACACTGGATATGGCCGTTATGGCTCCAGATATGGCTGTGGTTACCGGCCCGCCGGGGTCTGTGTGCCCGGCCCGCCATGCATCACCCCTGTGACTTGCAACAAGACGCTCCTGCAGCCTCTCGACCTGGGGATCGATGCCACGGCCCAGGCGGTAAAATGCCAAGAGAAGAATGAACTGCAGTGCCTCAACAGCAAGTTCGCCTGCTTCATCGACAAGGTGAGGAGTGGGCAAATAAGTGCTCTGATCCTGTGGTAGGAGGATGAAGAAGGTGGTACTTAAGCTCCGAAGTTCTCCATGGTTCAAGTCAGCTGGACAAGTTGGCCTGTGAGATGCCACTGTGGCTGCAGGGTAGGGAAGGCAGGAAGAAGCGCGGCCCTTCCCCTCTTGTCTCTTTGGAATGTGGTACGACGGTGATTGACCCTAAGGGCTTTTGAGCAGGAGTCAAGAAATGTGAAGAACAGGGGTGGGCTGCAAGCAGATCTCCAGAACTCCCAGCATTCCTGGCCACTGGCCATGCTGACAAGGGCTTCTGGGAGTTGAAGTCCCAAACATCTGCCCATCCCTGATATAGGTAAATGAAGCCTTGGAATTACAAGGCTGTGTAGCACTGAGGCACTGTGGCAAAGGGCTGCTGCCTTTATGCCCCCCTTGTGGAGCCACTTACAGGCCTCTCTTGGAAACAGGACACATGCTTTAATGGGTTCCAGCAAGGTTTTTACCTTGGCTGTTCTTGGCAGCATCTTTCTCTCCAGTTATTACAGAGATGGGTTCTGTTTTAAAACCCATAGCAAATGCTTGACTGTATTCAGGACTTTTGATGGGCATATGCAAGAGTGAGTTGGCCATGGGTCTTGCTTGCCTCCTGCCCAAAAACCCCCTGTCTTCTCCCTTCCTCTGAAGCCTTAATTTTGAAATTGCTTTACCTTGTTCATTGAATTTTATGGAGGTCCATTCCCTTTGAACAAGATTTCATCCAGTGAGGATTGTGTTCTGCACTATAAGAAATTGTGCATTCAGGTTGTAGTGCATAGGTAGGCAGCCAGGGGTGGTATCCAACACTGCGGCTGTGCTTCTGCTCATTCTTATTCTGCAAATAAGTTCCTGCGTATTCAGTGGAGCTTACTCCCAACTAAATGTACACTGACCTGCAAGCCAAGTCTTTGCCTGTGCTGGTGTGGTATGAGAACTCCAGACACAGCTTTTCTAAGTCTAATGCAAAATCAACCATCCATGCAAGAACGCAAATGAATTGGTGGGCTGCTGCCCACACGTTCCTCACGTCTGCTTTTTATCAGAAACCTATTATGGATTGGATCATAGGTGTAACTGTGACCCATGAACCCAGATCATTGTGTTGTTCAGAGACTAAATAAGTCAATGGTTAAACCTGGCTTGTGAGAGTAATTGGTAGGTTGTTTAAACCCCAAAAGCCCAGTGCTCCAGCTTTCTCATCCTCACTGCCTACAACCTGGCCAGTCCTGGGTTGTTTAAAAGTGGGCATGAGGAATGGATGAGAAGCCATGCCCTCTCTCAGTCCTGATGGCAACTGCCAGTTAATTAATCCATGCCTTGTCATAATAAGGGAACTGGGTGTATGTCTGAAAAATCCAGACATTTTGTTCTCAACCTCCAAGGCTCCAAAGGCAAAAGTAATGGCACTATTTTAAACATTCCTCTGAAATATTCTTTCAGAATCACAAGTCAACACGTCATTCTTGGACTGGTATTGTATTATACAAGCGATAGATTTGTACATACAGCTATCTACATGTGTGACTACACACATGGCACAACAATGGGGGTGGATCTCCATGTGGCGTACCAATTGATTTTATTTAGCCAAGGCAGCTAACATTTGTGGAACCACAGCAACCAGAACACTCACAGGCCACATTTCCCTTGTGCCTGCTCTTCAGGCTCCATCATTTGAGGCCTGCCAGTGGGCCCACCTGTTGAACTTGGCCTATAACTGAGATAGGCCTCTGCTAAGGCTGATGCATCTGCCTTTGAACTCTTAATTTAGAGCTCACCATTGCTCCTATTCTCCTATTATCTTGCATGGGTTTAAGTCTTGCTGCCTTGAGAGAGTTTACCCTGTCAGCTTGCAAATCTCATAAATAAAACAAATTTATAACACCAGGCTCTTCTAATGCATCTCCAAGGATTTATTCTAACATTTATTTTATGACTTACTTTTACATAAGCTCTGTTCACAAAAATTGTGTTCATAACCTTTTCTGTACATTATTTTAGTAATCCTTACAAAAGTCAGAATTCTAATCCCTATGGTACAGATAAGGCTAAACCCAAGGGGATTACGGCTTCTTAAGGCAAGCTGGTGAGTTCATGGCTGAGGTAAGATCTGACTCTTGAAACTTGTCAGCTCAAACTCTTCAGCACTATAAAACAGCAGATTCTGCAAACTATGGGTGGACAACTGAAACATCCTGGGATAAATCCAGCCCCAGTGAGAATCCCCTGCCCCCAGTCACCATTCAGTGTAATGAATGGCTTCCAGGGTCCTGTGATCCCTTGATCAATTTTCTAGTGGCTGACCAGAGTTTTAGCTCTGATCAATATAGTATGTCGATAATGGTAATGAAGTGTACTTCACATCCATCACAGGGGCCCTCTGAGCATGGCATCTATTTATATCTGGCATACTTTCCTTGACACTAAATAGGATGCAAGGTAAACCCAATTAATTGGGAATGGAGGTGCAGGGGAGGAGGGATAATCAGTCTTTGGTGTTATAGAGAGCCCCCCAGTAGCATTTTCTTCACTTTCTGCATGGGGAAAATATAGAAGGAAGGCATTATTAGATGCTTCATGATTTCATTACTGTGGAATCACACTGGGAAGATTTACAGTGAAGTTTATGCAGCAAACTCATAAGGTCAGAGTTCAAATGGAGTTTTGCCACCTAGTCCAATGCTGTGCTTGGTATAGGAAATCCAGAGCTAGAGAATCCCCAACAGATGGCAGTCCAGTCTCTGTCTGAAGGCCTGTAAGTAATTAGTTCCACTGTCAAACGTCTGCTGTCAGTAAATTAATATGTTTTAGATTCTAGTTCAGTTCAACATAACCTCAGATTAAATCCACATTAAATAAATTAAGATGTAGGTATGAAATGTCATAATTTTCAGACTATTTGAATCCAGAATTAAAAAACTGGAACTAAATATTTTGTATTATTTGAGGGCTGTGAGACAGATTTCTGCTTTTAACGCTGTGATCCATGTGTGAATTGTCATGCTTTTCTAGGTTCCCATGGAATCAGCAGGCCAGAAGCCTGCATCTGGATCTGGAATTACTACTGATCTCTTTTCTTGATCCTTTGATTATGGAATCAGTTCCAGGCTGAAAACATTCATCCATTGAAATTAATCACCCTTGTGGGGGATTGTTTCCTTTGGGCAACAGGTCCGATTCTTGGAGCAGCAGAATCTGATGCTGAAGACCAAGTGGGACTTCTTGCAAGAGAGGAAGTGTTGCAAAAGTAACATGGAGCCGATGTTTAATAACTATATCTCCATCCTGAAGAAACAGCTTGACCACCTGGAATGTGAGAGAACACAGCTGCAGGCAGAAATGAAAAACTGGAGAGATACTCTGGAGTGCAACAAGAAAAAGTGAGTGTGACCTGTCTTTCTGGCCTGTGCTGACATGCAGAGCTCCAAAGCTTGCTGCGCAACTCGAAACTTAAGGTAGCCCTTAGCCAGGTATGTGTCTACTAGGGCTTTGATAAACTTCCAGGGTTTGCTGCCTGCTGGGCACTGAAATGCAGGCAAGCTGCAATGCATGGCTAATAGGCTGGATCTAGCAGGTTGTGCAATTCTGCACCAACACTTTCTTCCATTCATTAGCGTTATACTTCTGGCAGGTGTGGATGAAGCACCCCAGAGAACATTCAGGTATGACACATGACATCTGCAAAGTACTGTTGTCCCAGCAGGGCAAAGCACAGGAGCAGCAACAGATCCAAGAGTGGGTGAACGTCAGCTTCGCCTTAGATAAGGAAGGCGACTTCTTTCAAGGGGGTCTTGTTCCAGGGAAAGGGTCCCATGTTCCAGGGAAAATCACATGCCTTGCATGCATCAAGTGTGTGCAACTAGCCATCACCCGAAAGAGGAAGTACATCTTCCTCCTAAAAAGGGACAAGGTGGCACAGATTTTAATGCAGCTTGCATATGCGAATTGGTATGAGAATTTGGAAAGAAGTGCTGTCATTTACTGTGGTGACCAGGTGACCTACATTTCTTGCACAGTTTGATGGTCAGTTACTAAGCATGAATGTGCAAATTCAAGGCCCCTTCCTGCTCTGTTTCAGAACTCTTTATCTTTAAACCAGGTATGGACTAGACAGCCCATCACAGAGAGGACAACTTCAAACAGAGGATTGTCCTATCTAAAGTAGGACATGTGGCCATTCTACATGTTCTTGGGCATCTCTTCTATTTCTCAGTAAATTTGTTTTCACTGTTTAGTTATTGGTACACAGCATCTGCACTCTTTGTTATGATCCGAGAATCCAGGAGCATACTCAGAGTTTAGCCAAGTCTTAACTCCGTATGCTCATCTAAAAATAAAGTCAGGCAGGTTCATTCCAAACACAATATTCAAAAGCAGGAATGTTTACTCAAAGCGGTGTAAATTCATTCAAATGAGAAAAAAAACCATTTCACTTTCCTCATTAGGTTTGAAGAGGAGTGTCACCGCCGAACATGTTCTGAAAATGAGTATGTGACACTTAAAAAGGCAAGTGAGAGAAACGGCTTTGTTGTTTTGTTTTGGCTTGGTTGCATCTAGTCATGCGTGGTCTAGCTTTCTACCAGTCCCTCAACTTCGACTGGTAATGGTCAAATGCCACCAACAAAAAGCATTTGTCAATATTTCTCCATTCTAATTCCATATTCCTATAGGATGTGGACTGTGTTTTCATGGACAAGTCAGAAAAGGAAGGAAAAGTGGACTCCTTGATGAAAGACCTCTGCTTTTATAGAGCAACTTTTGGGGAGGTAAGGAACTGTTTCAATGTTCGTTTGTTTTAACTCAAGTCCTTTCCATCCAAAGATGAAGAAATTTGAACATTATGAACTGAAATGAAATACTCTGCCATCTGCACCAGCCAAATTCATGTTTCAGTAGCTGGGTACAGCTATTCCCAGCATGGGGAGGCCTATGTTGTAGCTGCCTACCACATAACTGTTGAGGTCAAGGCAACCAAAAAGATAGGCTACAACTCAGGTTAAAAACACAGGGGCCCAATCTCAGAATTTTAAGAGCAAAGCCCTCAATGCCATGGGCCTGGATGGGATGAATCTATTAGTTTGTTTCTCCCACATTCAGCTCAAGTTTTTTTCTGTCCCATTAAGGAAGAAATTTGTGAATTTTGGCAAGTTCTTAAAAAATTCCACCCATTCCTATTCTACATAGGGTACAATCCAAAACTGAAGAGATTTTTGGACATAGGAAAGCAGTGAAAGTAAAGCAGATTAGGATTGGATATGCTATAGACAGCTCAGGCAGATAGGTTTTGGCTTGGGCTTCCACATATTTGGATCTTCAGATGGTTGAGAGAAAAGTTTGGACTGGCTTTAGAGGTAAGTACTTAGTGATGAAAGCCGCCCCGAGGCTTCGGCGAATGGGGCGGCATAAAAATGTTTTAATAAATAAATAAATAAATAAATAAATAAGTAGTTCCTGTGCCAGAGCCATTAGCTGACAGGGAGGTGCTCACACTCCAACTCTCTGAAGACAATTTAAACATTTCTGCAGCTGTCTAGATGCTTGGAGGGATACCTGATAACAACTCCAAGGTGGAGTGGAGATGTCAATTCCACTTTATTCTTATTAACTCAAAGCAGCTTACAGCATTCTCCTCCTGCTGCTTTCAGTCTTCTCTCCACAACGACCCTGTGAGGTAGGTTGAGCTGAGAGCCTGTGACTGACCCAAAGTTGGCTCCATGGCCAAGTGGAGACTAGAAGCCAGGTTGCCCGAGTCCCTGTCCCTTACTCTTAACCACTACATCGCACCAGCTGAATTTGCACCACAGCCTATTGTAGGGGTTCAAGGGGCGGCCTCATGTGTGCTGCTCTGAGCCCATCAGGAGGGATAAAGTGGGAATGTGACTGGGTAGAAGTCTCGGTGAGGTCCCAAAGTCTTCTAGGCTAAGCTGAGCTCAGGGTATTGAGAGGTTTTTTAGGGTAAGCCATCAAGGTAGCATGGGTGACGGACCTTTAGCACAATTGACTTCCCCCAACTCTATCAGGCAGCAGGCTGCCACCTGTCTCTTAGAAGTTGTCCAGATAAGTGGAGCAGCAGAAGCTTCCAGACTGTCTATCAAAGATATCCCCTAGACTGGCTGGAAAGCCTCTGTAGAGGGGGCCCAAGTACATCAAAATGAGTTCTTACATCTCCTTAGCCATGTGGAAGAGCAAATCCTGAGTCCATCTACTTACTTTAATAATTACCACCTTATTTAATAATTACCACCTTACCAATAATTATCTGCTAAAAAAAAGCCATCAAGGCAATGTACAACATCACAACCTTTAAGTAATAAAACAAGGACATTAAAGACAGGCAAAACTTTAAAACTGCAAATGTTAAAAGGTGAAGAAAACAATCCGATGGCCCACAAAGAGCATCTGAGGTGCCACAGTATAATCCAGATTCCCAGGTCTGATGTCACTTAACCCTCAAAACTGGGATTGGGGGCTCTGAACCACTCCCCGCTATAACCGGCATGGAAAGGCTCACGCTGGCTGCTTTCCAAGGCTGGAAAAGAAGGAGAAGTAAGAGGGAGTATTTTGCAGGATGAGAAGGAGAAGAGATTGGAGAGACCAGGATAAGAGTGACCCTGTAGCTGGACCAGCCTCCATTCCTCCCCTCTGAAATGCTCCAGCTAGGTGGGTGAAGAGGACCATTTAGCAGAAAATGCTAAAGATCATCTCAGCCATTCCCCCACTCCACACAGGATGCCTCGCAGTCTGGTCCCCAAGTTAGGGCGAGAAAGCAAAAGTCTGTAGAAACTACTGGGGATGCTTTGCGTGTGCTCTCCTGCAGGAAATCCATGAGCTGCAGTCCTGCATTTCGGACACCTGCGTCACAGTGCAGATGGACAACAGCCGCGGCCTGAATATGGACTGTGCCATTGAGGAGTTCCGGCGTCGGTATGAGGAGATTGCTTCCCGGAGCCGGGCTGAGGCTGAAGCATGGTGCCAGTGCCAGGTAAATCTCCTAGCATGCCTCGGGGCAGTGGAAGATGTCCTTTGTGGGGTGCTGGTGTTATGCTGGAACTGGCTTTCTACCTCGGCTGAAAGACGGAGGCGAGCATGTGCTCAGAAGCAAGGGGAAGGAGGCAGTCTTCACACAATCACTGGGACCTGAGGCCTAATGAAAGGTGCTGTGGCTAAACAGGATGGAAATATCTATCAGTCTCCGTTTCTCCCAATTCCTTGTTTTTCCAGTCCTGACTTCAGCTCATCCCAAACTTTGAAATTCTTTCCAGCGTTATATTTGGTTTGTCCTCAACTCTGAGATTTTTTTAAACGTTTTCATTAAAATTCATATGCATTTTTTGCATTTCTCTTATGCACAATTTTGCCTAATAGACACCGTTTTACAAGAAATTGTCTTCATAAAATGCTTTGAAACAGTTTAATAATGTTCATATTTTTGTGTGCACTTCTTTCCAATAGATACACTTTTGTATGCTGTTTGTTTGTTTGTATGGATGGATAGATGGATGGATGGAGAACCGCATTGCAAAATTTGGAGAAGTGTGGATTTAAGTGTCCGTTTGTGCATTCTTTTGAAAGTGCAAACCTGGGTAACCTTAAATCGAAATGTGCACTAAACCGTTTTCCAACCACAATTTTCCGACAACCTGGTCCTCTTTTTGTCTCAGTATCAGGAACTGAAAACAACCGCTGCCAAACACTGTGACAATCTGCGCAATGTCAAGGAAGAACTGAGTGAGTTGACAAGGCTGGCTCACAGGCTGGAGATGGAAGTTTCAAATGTCAAAGCTCAGGTGAGTAGAGAGATGTGGACCCTGGAATTGTGACAATTAGCTTAGCTGCAAACACTGAAAATCATGCATTGGAAAAATCATGGCTACTATATGCTTGCAAAAAACCCACCCGACTTAGACTTTAGAAATAAATAGAGAAGAGTAGGCCAGGGCTCTGTGTGTTCCATTTCTCTTTGGTGACAACAGCCCATGACTAAGCACAGAGTTCACCATCCAGACATAATTTACTCACACTCTTTCTTTAAATCACTAGCACCAGGTTTCTAGTCCTTAATGATCCAAACTTAGCCATTCTTAGAGTAGACTACTGAAATCCATGGGACATATTAGTTAGGACTCACCTAAGCCATGTTGATTTCAATAGCACTGCTCTAACCTTGAGTAAATCTATGGATCCAGACCATCACGTACACAAGCAGCCCTCCATGACTGTTGTGCTGTTGCATGGTGGCACGAAGTGAGTTGGGTGGGAGAGGATGGCCATGGCTCACCAGAGCAAAGTAACGTCTGAAGGTGTTTGCTTCTCACATGTCCTCTAGCCCCAAGCCTCCCTCTTTCTCAGACTTGTTATTATTACATTGCACCCACATCCTGCTTTTTCCCTCATGTGAGGAACTCAAGGAAGTCTGCATAGCTCAGCTTGTGCAACTTCTTTCCCAGCTGCACAACTGGACAGCTAAGGGCCTCCCTTCAAGCAATTTTGAATAACTACGGAGTGGGAAAATATATATGAAATAATAATTAAGGAATCCTTGGGTAAGCTCACAACATCACAAGGGCCTCTGGGTTGATGTGGAGCATGTACTAGAGAGATCCCTAGTGGCCCCACACCCAGCCCGTCCCTCGAATTGCAGTAGCCAGACAACTCAGCTAAGAAAACCAAAGCAGCTGAGTTGATGCATGTTAATTAAGACACCGCGCCTTGCCATGACAGCGAGCCAAACTGGACGAGGAGGTGGCTGCGGCTGAGGAGCGTGGGGAGATCACTGTGAAGGATGCCAAATGCAAACTGGCGGAGCTGGAGGATGCCCTGCATAAGGCCAAGCAGGACATGGCCTGCCAGCTGCGAGAGTACCAGGAGCTCATGAACGTCAAGCTGGCCCTGGACATTGAGATCATCACCTACACGAAGCTGCTGGACGGGGAGGAATACAGGTGAGTGCCTGAAGAGAGGGCAGGTTCGATTAGCACAGCCTGTGTTCCACCCAGCCAGGTATAGCCCACCAGTTGCTTCAGGTCACCAGAGGCTTGATAAATCACTTGTTTCACTGCCTACTGGGATCTGCAGAAAACAGTGAATAGTAGAAAGCACTCTGTTCTGTAGACGTTTTAATGCAAACCTACTTTTTCACTTTCAAACCAAGACACAAACTGAAACTCAGTCATCCTCAGAAATTTGGATTGCCTGGGGAAAGTGCAAATAACACTCAGAAATTCATTACAAGGAAAACTGCTGACCAAATGTGTGGATTACGCAAAATTGAATACAAAAATGCATGTAAGGGGGAGAAATATGCACAAAACTGTGTATCAGTTTTCATGCAAACTTAAAAAATAAAATCTCCAAGTTAAGGATAAACTGAATGCAAGATTGCTAAGGTAAGAAATAGAGAGGAACATTCATCCATCCCTAAAAAGAAATGTAGAACACAATGCATAGTTAGTATGGAATATGTTTGCCTTGCTGGGATATACTAGTTCTTAAAGATTGCTATAAATGGCCATGGAAGAAGGAAAATTAAAATAATTGCAAAGAACCCCCCCCCCCATTTATTTTGCCCTTGCCAATATTTTTAGTAGGTTCATTCTTTCTGTTCTAGTGTGTTGACAGCAATCTGTCATGCCAAAATATAGCCTGCAAAGTTTTCCTGTCACCTTACCTGTTAAATGAGTGTATGTCAGGCTGCTGTTAAAAGCATAGGAATGGAGCCAATAAATCTGCAACTCTGTTTTTGAAGCTTAAAGACAGAAGGCTTTCAATAGATTTCTCTCATACATGATCCAAGGGGCTGGTGGAGAATGGAAGAGAGAGACAGCCACAATAGGAAGCTGCCTCATGGCAGGTCAGATAGTTTGTTCATCTAGTCAGCTGTTCCTACTGGAAATGATTCTCCAGGGTCTTGGGCAGAGGGCCTCCAGCATTTTGGGCAGAGGTCTTGCAAGTTATTTGGTATTTGGTCCTTTTAATGGGCGGGGGGTGGCAGGGCTTGTACTTAGGATTTACTGACAACACGGCAAATACTCTAGCACTGAGCTACGGGCCTTTCTCTTAGAGCCTCAGTGGCTATAGGAACATAGAAACATAGGACATACTGTAGAAACATAGAAACAGAGCGAGTCAGAAGGGGTCTCCCAGGCCATCTAGTCTGACCCCCAGGTCTGCTCACGACATGCCCACCATGTGCATGTCTAGCCCATCTTTGAACACCCTCACCAATGGAGCCTCAACCACCTCCTGTGGGTTCGCAATTGTGGCTAATGGGGCAGGCTGAAAATCTCATAATAAGAAATGAAGAATTGGCAACGGTGGCCAGTAAGTCACAGGGAGAGGTTACAGAGCTGGAAGGAAAGCACCAGTTTCATTCTACATCTCCATGCCAAAGTCGGGAAGCATTTTTTCAAGATGCGTCTGTGAATAGTGCACAGGGGAAGGGGTGAACATATGGCAAAAGAACACATTTGCTCAGTAAACCAATTTCGACCGGTTTCTTTCTAGGTTGGGTGAAGGAGAACGTGCGGTGAACATCTGTAAGTATGCTGAGACCCCTCCTCCTTGCTCCCTGCCTCTTCTTTTTTGTATGAATATGTACAAAAGGTGAAGACTGACTGTGGGTATGGCTACTCTCAAGGCATGGGAGGCCAGGGGAGGAAGCAGTGGGGGGCAAGCTATGGGAAGAGGGCTCTTTAAGACCAGGGAGTTGAGGGTCAGAGCTCTGGAGGCTGGTCCTGAAGGGGTCGGGGAGAGAGGGAGAGCGCACCACAGAGAGGTTAGGCAAGGTGAGGTGAGTAGGAAGGATCTTACGGAGGTATGAGGAAAGCTTTGCTCTGCAGCTTTGACATAATCACCCAAACTTGGCCTACCGATTTCTAGGTTCTCCTCCTCCTCCTCCTCCTCCTCCTCCCCACCTATCTTCCTGAGCCTTTTCAACTGTAGGGAACACCCAGTGAGACCAGATATATGCGGGGCGGGCAGGTTCTGGTTTGCGACATACAACCAAGATGCCTTTTCTTCTCCCCCACTCTCACGCCAGCTGTGCAAAGGAGCCAGGGTGCCGTGGTATGTGATGCTGACCCGCGACCGGTGTGTGGCCCCCAGGGCGTGTGTGGGCCCAGTGGAAGGATCGTGGCGAGCTGTGGCCCTCGAGTGACACCCTACGGCCCAGGCAGAGATGTGTGTGTCGACACCGTGCCTCCTTGCCCTGCCCCCTACGCTGACCCTTGCCCCCCTTGTGGAGACACACGCCTCCCTTTCCCCTGTGGGAGCGGCAGGGGCTCCAATATCAAATTTGTCATACCCCCTGGCCAGTGTGGGCGAAAATGCTAGGAACAGAAATAGAAACCTGGTGCCGTGGAGGAACAACAGCACCAGCGCTCAGTAATTCCAGTGCTGGCCTCAGAACAGCTCCTTCACAACCACCCTTTGCAAATTGCACTGCTGCCCCCTGCTGACTAGCAGTGTGCTCAGAAATGCTGCTCCGGTGAGCCTCGCCACCACCGATTTCGCCAAGGTGCAAGAGATCCCACTCTACTTGAAGCTTGTTGCAGTATGAACCGGTTTCCTCAGGTGCTGTAGTGCACTGGCCCCATTCCACCGGCTTCAGGTACAACCACCTGCGGATGCTGGAAGTTCTCTGCCATTTCTACCCTGCTCCTCTGCCTGATTGCTGTTAAATGGTCATATCTCCACCAAGGCCCCACTGTGTCCGAGTGAAACCTCTTCACTTTTATACACCAAGATCCTGACGTCAAATTTCGGTGAAATCAAAGAACTTGCCCCTTTAGGTTAGAATATTTGTGAATATACATCAAGATGCCTAGAAATGCCCACTGAGGCTGAAAACTTGCACATTCTCCAAAATACCGGGACCGGCATTAAGATGGAGTAATTATCCCTTCTCAACCCATACCATGTGCTTTAGGAGCTGCGCTCCTGTGTTCTTGTCCTTGGGAATAGGCCCCCTTGAACACGGTGGGCCCTGGTCCTGAGGACCGTGCTGTCACTGTGCCATCCTGCCTCTGGCTGACTGTCCCCACGGTGCTCCCAGGCTCTTCTGTATCACAATTTGCTGCTTGCATTGTATTTCCCATCCTCTCTTGGGTCCTCTGTTTCTAATAAACTGGCTTTGCTGAGCAAAAGAAAAAGCAACAGGCTTGACAGATGCCATTTCTTTATTTACTGAAGGTGAGCGAAAGCCTAGAACATCTTTCCTTAAAGGGAATGTTTGAGGTTTTGTCCAGTTCGGGGGACAAAAAGATGTCTGAAATGGGGCAGATCGGTTGGTTTATAAATGTATGAATGTTAGGTGAATGGATTGGAAAGTGTTCCTTTGTATATCTCCTAATAGCATTCACCCTGTGAAATAAATTGGTAGTAATTTCAGGCCTGACAGAAGGGAGCAGTTGGAGCACGAATCACAGAGTGTTCGATTTGGAAGGGTCGTTGGAGGAAATGAGGCTGTCCGACCCTTTGCTCAGTGCAGGGGGCGGCTACAGCATTTCTGACAGACGGCCATCCAGCCTCTATTGAACTGCCTCTGGTGGAGGACAGCCCACCTAACATTGCAAAGTTCCTGCTAATGTTTAGGGACGATCTGCTTCCAGGCAATTTCCACCTCTCTGTTCCAGCTGCATCCTTTGGAGCAACAGAGACCAAGCCTTCCCATAGTGCACAGAATTCATGGTATTCACTGCCACATGGATTGCCTATGGCAGATTTTAGAAGGCTTAAACCTGGGGGGGTGATGAAATGCTTTCAACGCAAGGGGCAAATTTCATTTCAGAGAAGGTCTAAGGTGCTGCATTCCAATGGCAGGTGGGCCTGAATCCAAAAAAGGACAAAAAGGGAATGATGCTGGCATATGGTAGCTGAAAGCTCCTTCTGCTTCTTAGAAGCCATTTAAAATGGGGGAAACTGTAAAATCTGGGAAAAGACTCAATCAGATGGTGAAAAATAGGGGGACCAAGAGAAGAGGAAGTGGCCTTTTGGGGAACCAGAGGGATGGATTTGGCCCCCAGGTGAGCCAGATTTGGGCTCTTGCCCTGAGACTCTGCCGCACGCCTAGTTTAGATATGCATTAATTTTTGGAAAATGTTGTTCTTTATGGAATTCATTATACACACAATTGCACTGTGATTCTTTTTCTGTGGTGTTTACTTGTGAGCATGGCTAAAACATTGCCCCCAAGCAATATCAGTGTGAGTGTTGGTACAGTTGTATCACAATTTTTCGTGTGTGTGTTTTCCTGCCAGTGAGCAGCTGCATCTATTCGCACAAGTAAATGCCACACAAAAAGATTGATCTGCAACTCGGTGTACAGTCCCCTCAAGATGGCATTTTTGGGATCGTTTTATCAATGGATGCACATGCACCAGAGACACAGCGGGGAGAAAAGATAAAAAAAGGAACTTGAAATTGCGGCGGACCGCATATGCTGCGATTCCTGAGTTTAATTTTAGAAAATCTTGTTCAACCAGCATGCACAAGGCAGACCGAAACAGAAGAACAATTAAAAAACAAACAAACAGGACGGGGCAAATCTGCTAATCCCCACATTTGAGCAATTGCACCTCCTCATCAGCCTTGAGCGTTGATGGGAGTGTTGTGAGACTTACCCCATCTCAGCAAGGTTCTTGTGACGATCCTTCCACATTCCTGATCCCTGAACTCTTGGTAGGAGAGGGGAGATACAAATCTAAACCAAATAAAATATCGTCTCTGCTGAGTATCATCCTTTTTTACCTTCTGGAACCTGGCCCTGAGCAGCTTGCACTAGAAGCAAATTATCCCATGTATGTGAAAGGAAATGTCAGATTCCTCCCTCCCTCCCTCCCGGGCTTGGATCACGGGGAAGCAGGCAACCTCCTGACCAGCAATTGCCCGAAAGCCTATCCCTGACTCTAGATACGCTTCTGAAGGTGGACAAGGGCAGAGGCGTGTGACCTCCAATGGCTGCGCTGGCTGCCCTGGAAGGGGTGGAAGGCAAGACGCAAAGATCTGTGAACAACCGGAAGCTGGTGTTGACATGAGCAGGTGGGACTAGCATCTGGATGAGGGGGCCATCGCTGGGGAAGCATAGCTTGATAGCACAGGACAGTACGTGCTTCTCACATCGAGCAGGGATGTTGAACTTCCTTTGGCCGAATTCCGTTCCAAAAAAGCTCTCGGGGGCCACATGCCACTTGTAGGCAGGGCCAAAGGCAAAAGGGACAGGGACGGCAATGCCAGCATGTTGCGGCTTAAAGGAGAGGCATTTCCACCCTTCAGAATGAGGAAACCACGGCACAAAAGCTGGGAAATCACCCATCCGTGGCTGAAGGAAAGGCAGGTGGGGCCAGGGCCTCTAGGGGGAACCTTGGAAAGGTAAACGGGGGTTCCTGGAAGGCCAGCTCAGAGCCTCACGTGGAGGGATTCCAGGCATCCAGTGAAAGGATGCCAGGCAGGGTGGCAGATGCGAACAAGCACGGGGTTTCTGTGCCTTGAATTGTTGTGCGATTTCAGGAGGTGTGGCTTATCAGGCAAGCCCTCTGCTGCAGCTGCAGCTCTCATTTCTGGGGAAAGAGCCCTGCCTGAGGACATGGAGTGCATGGGGAGCTTGCGATGCAGCAATATAGCGCAACAGGGACCAACAGGTTCATTCTGGATAAGAGGCCGGAACGGATGAATCTGCCGGTTTCAGTTCTCTCCATTTCTCACGTTTCTAGGATTGAGTTCAGTTTGTCCCCCTGGATTGAGCTCACCTTCCCCGAATACATGTGTGCGTGTGTGCGCATGCACGTGTAGGAGAACACTGTTGCCAAATTCAAAGAAGAGGGAATTTCAAAAGATAGCCAGAGGACTGAACCAGACTGGGCAGGCTTCCAGCGCTCTGCGCAAGTGGAGGCTGAAGTCCGGCTTGTGGTTGGTGTACATCCCTACTAAGGGGGTAGCTACTAGGATACCCCCAGCAGAACTGTCTGGGTCTCTCCCAGCGACTGCCCAGCAGCAGCCCACATGACTGGAAGACACAGTGGTTTTCACGGCACTGGGGTGAATATTTGCAACTGGTGCTTTGCTTTTAGGAATGGAGTAATTACTGCTCATATACAACAGTTCCTCTTCTGAAGCACAGCTGGCCTGATCCCCACAGGAGGGGCAATGATCTCGTCATGTTTCATCTAATTCTGTCAAAAGAATGAAATAAGTTATTAGAAGTTGCCCTTTTAAAAAGATTAAAAGTTAAAGGTGTGTGACACAAAGCCCCTGCTCCTATTTGTCTCCAATTTACCAGGTATAACCCTCTCATAAAGTGATATAATATCTGCAAATTTCATCCAAATCTGACAAACAGGAAAAATTATGACCATTTTCTGATTTCCAACAACAGTCAGTGAGGGGCACTGTGATCTGAATTCAGATCAACATCTAACCAAGTTGCTTCAGAACTGGTCTGAGCCAAACTGGGCTGTTTTCTAAATTGCTAAGCAGAAACTTGCATTTACTGCACATGCCTTTGTAGGCTGAATGTCGGACTTCGTACAGGGGCCTCACAAAGAGAATGAAATGCTTTTTCCTCTGAGCCCCTAGAACATGGACGTGATTGAGCCACAATATGAATCCTTACTTCTCATGTACTGCACGGGTCCCAGCACCATCAGAAAGGAAGAAATATCTCATACCACATGGTCCTGCAGAGATATCCCACTGGATATTCTTCATAGCAATATTAATTGTGCAATGGATTGATCATGCTCAAAGTAGTGAAGTCAGAATGACTTCTTCGGGACGCGGGTGGTGGGGGAGAAATTCACTTGGCACAGAGCAGTACCTCTAATCTAAGACCATGGGAATGAAACTGGCAGAGGAAGAGACGGTTTATGGACTAAGTAGAGGCTTTCCAGATTATTTAATTTCACATACTTCTTGGTGCCTATAGACCTCCTTGGCAGGAATATAAAGGAAACAAGTAAGGGCAAAGCCATGGTGCCAGGTAGGTAGTTATGCAGAGTTATATAGCAATTATGAAGCTTTCTTACTGAACATCCCATACGCTGTCTTGGTGCTCTGATTGGCGTACGGTGGTGGTGGTCTGGATACCTCGGAGACAGCTGCTGTACAGATAGCATCAACGAAAAGGGCACCTCGTTCTCATGGTTTGGGAAGGAAGGGGCACACCTGCACAACAGAATGAGGCTAAACTGCACATCAGGAGGGAGATCAGGGATCCAGTTGTGTGGAAGTCGGAGCTGGATCAGAGCAGTTGTGCTGAAGTGGGGGAGATAATTCCTTCTTTTCCCGCTTTTTCCCCAGGCTAAATCATGGTCCATTGTCAAAACTGCTATTAGACC